AGCATCCAGTTGATTGGTGACTCAAGTTTCACTGCCACATAGAAGACTAGTAACGGCCACAGCATTGCAGACCAACATAAGTCAGTCGTGCAGGGGTGATGGATGATCAAGACTTTACGAAAACAGCTGCAGAATTATTGATGTGCTCAAGTTTATCCTAAGAATTCACAAAATTTCTTGTGAATGAGCAAATCTAATTGGTGCATTTTAACTGATCCATCCAAAAAGACCCTTCAAATCCCAAGTTCACAGCATCTAGATCATTCTTACATGATTCCAGGATTTTGCTTCCACTACATTAAGTAGAAGTTTAATGCACATTTGATCAAAAGCAAACCACTGAAGATATTGGACCTCTGAAATAAAAGTTGGAAATATTGAAAATGCTCAGCCTGTCTCTCCACAACTGCTGCTTGATCTGATGATGGTTTGCAGTATTTACTGTTTTACAAGAAAGAAAGTCTTGCATTTTAATAGCATCCTTCACAACCTTCGGATATTCCAAAATATTTTGCAGTCAGTAAGTATTTTGACATAATCACTGCTGGAATGTCAGAAATGTGGTCACAAATTGCACACAAAATCTCACAAATAGCAATCACTGATCCAATAACTTGTTTTGAGTAATGCTTCCTGAAGAATTCCCCTGTTTTTCTTTGAAATAGTGTCAAAGATTTTTTTTTGCATCCACATTTGAAAACTGACAAGGCTGCAGTCTAATCTGAAAGCTGGCACCTTTAACAGTGCAGCAATCCTTCAGTGACCTTAAGTGACTAATATTAAAACATACAAAATAGTGTGCAGCAAAAGTGCGGTCTCGACAATATCATAATGACCAGGGTAACACGACTGTACATTTTTCACATACCTATCACCATACCCAACTCACAGCCTCAATTCCAAAATACAACAAAACCTATGTGATCTCCTCAGGCACCCTTAACATTGAAGCACTCCCTCAGTACAGTCCCAGGAGTGTTTTCTCGGATCTTGAGCTTAAATCACTGGTGTAGACCTTGAACTCACAGCCTTACTTCACTAACTGTGTGAAGAACTGCTGAACATCAGTTTCTACTTTATCATTTACTTGATTAAAACAGCAGCTTCTCCTTTACATTCTCTCCAAAACTCTAATACTGTACCTCCCCATTCACAGATTCAGGCTGGAGTCAACCCACAAGGCAAGGTCCTGTTGCCTGTATCTCCCTCTTCTGTGGTCTTAACCACACCCGAGCAGCTCTAGAAAGGGAGCACACTGGTACACTTGATATCCTACAGGGACTGGAGTACATAACATAAGGTTATCAACAATCTCATTTAAGTTTTATAGATTTTCCTTTGGTATTGTTGTTGCATTCTTTATACATTGTGCCTCATTGAAAGGCAGGAAGGGTACAGTGGATTGTGACTGGGGACACCCACCCTATCAAGTCCCCTCAGAATCTTTTATGATTCAATATGATCACTTAGTCACAGAGTCATAGAGATATGCAGCATGAAAACAAACCCTTCAGTCCAACTCGTCAATGCCAAACAGATATCCTATATAAATCTAGTCCCATTTGCCAGCATTTGGTTCATATCCCTCTAAACTCTTCCTATTCATAAACCCATCCAGATGCCTCTTAAATGTTGTAATTGTACCAGCCTCCATGACCTCCTCTGGCAGCTCATTCCATATACGCACCAACCTCTGCATAAAAAGTTGCCCTCAGGTCCCTTTTAAATCTTTTCCCGTTCACCTTAAACCTGTGCCCTCTATTTTTGGACTCCCCTACCCTGGGGAAAAGACCGAGGTATTCATCTTATCTATGCCCTCATGATTTTGCAAACTTCTATAAGGTCACTCCTCAACTTCTGACGCTCCAGAAAAATAGCCCCAGCCTATTCAGCCTCTCCCAATTGCTCAAACCTTCTAACACTGGCAACAACCTTGTAACTCTTTTCTGCACCCTTTCAAGTATCACAACATCCTTCCTATAACAAGGAGACCAGAATTGCACACAGCATTCCAAAAGTGGCCTAACCAATGTCCTGTACAGCTGTAACGTGACCTCCCAACTCCTTTACTCAATGCACTGACCAATAAAGGCAAGCATACCAAACACCTTCTTCACTATCCAATCTACCTGCAACTCTACTTTCAAGGAACTATGAACCCAAACTCCAAGGTCTCTTTGTTCAGCAACACTCTCCAGGACCTTAACTTTAAGTGTATAAGTCCTGCCCTGATTTACCTTTCCAAAATGTAGCACTTCACATTTATCTAAATTAAACTCCATCTGCCATTCCTCAGCTCACTGGCCCATCCGATCGAGATCCCATTGTACTCTGAGGTAACCTTCTTTGCTGTCCACTACACCACCAATTTTGGTGCCGTCAGTAAACTTGCTATCCATACCTCTTATGTTCATGTCCAGATCATTTATATAAACGACAAAAAGGAGAGGACCCAGCACCGATCCTTGTGGCACACCGCTGATCACAAGCCTCCAGTCTGAAAAGCAACCCTCCACCACCACCCTCTGACTTCTACTTTTGAGCCAGTTCTGTATCCAAATTGCTAACTCTCCCTGTATTCCAAATGATTTAACCTTGCTAACCAGTCTACCATGAGGAACTTTGTCGAACGCATTACTGAAGTCCATATAGATCACATCCACTCCTCTGTCCTCATCAATTCTCTTTGTGACTTCTTCAGAAAACTCAATCAAGTTAATGAGACATGATTTCCCACATACAAAGCCATGTTGACAATCCCTAATCATTTCCTGCCTTTCCAAGTGCGTATAAATCCTGTCCCTCAGGATTCCTCCACAGCTTGCCCACCAGCAATATCAGGCTTACCAGCCTATAATTCCCTGGCTTTTCCTTCCCACCTTTCTTAAATAGTGGCACAACGTTAGCCAACCTCCAGTCTTCCAGCACCTCACCTGTGGCTATCGATGATACAAAATATCTCAGCAAGGGGCCCAGCAATCTCTTCCTTAGCTTCCCACAGAGTTCTAGGGTACACCTGATCATGTCCTGGGGATTTATCCACCTTTGTGCGTTTTAAGACGTTCAGCACCTCCTCCTCTGTATTATGGACATTTTTCAAGACGTCACTATTTATTTCCTCACATTCTCTATCTTCCATATCCTTCTCCATAGTAAACATTGATGCAAAATGTTAATTTAGTATCTCTCCTATCTCTTGTGGTTCCACACGTAGATGGCCTTGCTGATCTTTAAGGGGCCTTACTCTCTCCCTAGTTACCCTTTTGTCCTTAATGTATTTGTAGAATCCCTTTGGATTCTCCTTAACCCTAATTGCCAAAGCTATTTCATGTTCCCCTTTTGCCCTTGTAATTTCCCTCTTTTGTATACCCCTACTGCTGCCGTTATACTCTTCTAAGGATTCACTCAATCCCTGCTTCTCATTCTTCAAAACTCCATTGGGTATAGACCCAAACTATTAAAACTTGTTTCATAAGATAAACCCCTATATCCGGAATGAGTTGACTGAACATTCTCATGTTATTATATTCTTTTACAAATAGGTTACCAAACAGTTCACAGTACTCCAGACATGATCCTACCCTGCACAGCTGCAGCAAAACTTCATTACTTTTATATTCGATTTCTCTTCTAAACTATCCCACAATACTTTCTTTCATAGAATCCCTACAGTGTGGAAACAGGCCCTTCGGCCCAACAAGTCCACACTGACCCTCAGAGCATCCCACTCGGACCCATCCCCCTATAACCTACCTAATCTACACATTCCTGAACACTACGGGCAATTTAGCATGGCCAATCCACCTAGCCTGCAATATCTTTGGACTGTGGGAGGAAACCCAGGCCGACACAGGGAGAATATGCAAACGCCACACAGATAGTCGCCTGAAGGTGGAATAGAACCTGGGTCTGTGGCACTGTGATGCAGCAGTGCTAACCACTGAGCCACCCAACAAAAAATATGGAATGCTTCACAAATTTGCATGTCATCCTTGCTCAGGGGCCATGCTCTGTATTGTTCCAAATTTTAGTACATGTGCTGCGAAACAAGTTGGAGATCTTGTGAAGAGATCTCTGTAGCTTTTCAGCTCTGATCAAATGGCCAAAGTAATGACATCTTATTTTCAGAATGTCACTTTTTAAGAGGTCATTTTGCTCTTCCAAGTTCAAGCACTTTGCCTCGTAAACTGTTTATGGAATTGATATTTATATATCTTAGCAACCACATTTCAAAGGCTTCTATTTTCTTCCACAGATTTTCACATTTTGTATGGATTTCTATTTGCAATTATAATTGCAGCCGACCACTATCCTCAGTCATAATTGCAGCCAGTATAGTAGCATTTCTCAGTTCATTTTATGAATCCACCATTTATGCTCAGTAGCAGCTGTATGTCCAGATACAAAATACACTGCAGATCCTTAGACAGCATCTTCCAAACCCACAGCCACTAACATCCAGAAGAGGGGCAGCAAATACACAGAAACACCACCACATACAAGTTCCCTTCCATGCCACTTGCCATCCTGACTTGGAAATATATTGCTGTTCCTTCAATGTTATGGATCAAAGACCTAGCATTCTGTCTCTAACGGCAATGTGGGTTTACCTGCAGCACATGGACTGCAAGGATTCAAGCAGCTCACTAACACCTTCTCAAAAGCAACAAATACTTCACCAGCCAGAAACACCAGTCCGACAGGTGAATTTAAAAAAGTGACAAAGGTTACTAGCTAACCATTGCTCCCAGATAGAACTACAAACAGGACAGTACAAAATTTCCCAGTCTGCAGCCTGCCAGCATTCCCGGTTATAATTGCAGTCGGTCAGTTTCCCCAGATATGACTGCAGCCAGCCAATTTTCCCCCGATATACTTACAGTGAATGCAGCAGTTCTCAGTTACCAGCCAGCCAAGCACTCAGCTTTCCTAGGCATAATTACAACTAGCACAGAATGCTAGGGTTGCAAAGAGTCCTCCTGAGCTTCAGGGGGCGGTCGATGGGGAGTGAGCGGCAGGTTGTTGTTGGATGAGGTCAGAGGTCAGCCGGATCCAGCATGGACGCGGCGGAGTTGGAGACCGGGTGAAGTTTCGCTGTTGGTTTGAGGGGGAACATTCCCAGTATTTCAGTGGATTGAGAAAGGAGAAGGTGGGAGGAGATTTTTCATCAGGCACTCGGTGTGTTTATGGCTGAAAGCAGCGGCTGGAGTTGATGGAGAGAGAGAGACTCAAAAACCCAGAGTTACTTAATGCTGTGTCTGATCCCACCATATTCCCGTTAATTGAGGGTTGGATGTCCGCCTAGATTGCTGTGCCGCGGGACTGGGGGCACCAGAATTGGTATTATCACCATCACCATCAGTATCAGCACCATCATCTGGCAGAGCCCTGTGGCTCCGAGTGAGTTAGGATCCTGCCCAAATTCTGTAATAAGTGAGCAAATCCGGAAAGAGCCTGAGCCACTGTGGGATTCGGAAGCATCTCTCCGCGGCTGTATAAAAAATGTTTGCTGCTGCTTCTTATTAGGCGGTGCTTCGTGGTCATTACTGACTTCTGAGGTGACTGTTGAGTCCGTACGTGATCTGCAGACTCTGCCTGTGGCCCTTGGAAGGGTTGGGTGCAATGGTTGGAGATTTGCGTATTTCCCCCAACTCCTCGTTTTCATTTCTGCAAGTTTCAAATGAAGCCCCATCGGCGTACTTGGTGCCATCCAAAATACTTTTCTTTCTCTGTTACAAGCCAGGGTCTCCCATGAGTCTACAGGCATGTTTGACATCCTTAAAGTGTTTCTGCTGTAGTCCTGGGAGTCTCCTGCCACGGATTCAGAGTAAAGAAGTTGTTTTGGATGTGAGGCCTACTTAAGACCTGCCCTGCTCTAAAGAGCTGATTTTAAGTGGTTAGCATTTCAATGCAGGTAAAGGTGGCGTGAGAGAGGAATCTGCTGTTGGACTGCTATTCTCGCCACTGGATTTGAAGCATCTTGCAAAGGCACCAGTAGTAGTAGTACTTTGCTACTGCTTTGAGATGCCTGCAGTAGGCTGTTCAAGTTTTTGAAGCAGTTGAGGGCATGGTGATAACTGGTGCCCAATAAACTATTACCTCAGTTTCAGCTTTGTGATCCTGGTTTACAAATACATTTTTCCTCAGTCAGCCAGAGGCTGAACTGGCACATTGGTGTTAACAACTTGCACAGTTAGACCAGTTTAGAGCGTTCAGCTCCAGAATACAACTACTTGCTTCCAACTTTCATTTTTCCCTCCTTTCTACCCTCATTTTCTGTTTCTTCCTTCAGCCCTAATTTATCCAGGTTGCTAACTGACTTATGTGATTTGACCTGATAGTTGGAAGGCTGTATGACTGTGATGGATATGATTCTGGCAATACTTGTCTACATCAGTAGCAAAGAGGGAGGCAATATTACTGAATACCAGCAAGTATGAGCCCAGATTTTGAAAATATTTTCTTTCAGTTCTGGTGATGAGGCCGATTGCAGCAATCTCAATGACCTTAAATAGCACAGACCATGTATCAAACATGGGTCTAGAAAGTAGAAGGAAATTAAAAGTTTATTGGAAAGAAGGAAGATTCTTGTTAATGATGCAGAACTTTGCATGACTTCAGGCCATCCTAATGCACTTTACAGCCAATGAAATACTTTTTTGACGTGCAGGCATTGTTCTAATGTAGGAGATGCAATAGTGAATTTGCACAGAAAATCCACATTTGTGAATTTTGGTCCAAGACACTGAAGTTCAATCTCAATGAGTGCTTTGGATCATCAGGATTTTTGTTTTACATTTTTGGGGTATTTTAATAATCATGGGGACCTGTAGCACAGAGAGGGCCTTTCAGCCATCACACCTATGATGGCTGTTTGGAAAATAAGTTACTCAGTTTCATACCCCTGTACTTTCTCAGCCCTGTTTTAGCCCTGTTAAGCTGTGAATTGTTTGATCATAAATTGCACATTTTACCGTGTCTGAACTATATCACTGATTTAATATGTGAGTTCATGTTTCTCTCTGCTCATTTGAAAAATCCTTCACAGCACCAGCCATGCGGAATCTGAAATTGTTGCGCAGCCTGCATTGCAATAGCTGGCAAGGTCTCGGCAAGCCCCAGTGTCTCACTGTACGGGTGGATACAGGGACGGTGCTGGTGGGATCAGACCTAGGAATCACAGAACTCAATGCACACACTGAGCAGGTACAGGTCACTTGTGAATTTTTATGTGACAATTTTGAACCTTGCGATATCAATTCTTAAAAGAGAAAGCCATTTAGGATATTGTATGTGACAAAGTGATTACTGTGTCTCAGCTGAGACCTCTCACCCATGGATACTTTGTTAATTAATGAATGGTAACACTGCTCTATATTTTAAAATAATTGGGCATTCAGCTGTATAACATGCATTGTTCTGAGGTATATCAGCTGGACAGTGGAGTAAGGGCCAGCATGAAAGGTATGATATATATCAAGACTTGTACTTGTATGACATTTTCTAAACCTTGAGGCATCCCAAAGAGCTTCATAGCCACTGAAGAACTTTTAAAGTGTTTTCTCTTGTTATAATGTAGGAAATGTGACAGTTGATTTACAAACTGCTGAAGCCATTCATTCCAAATTGTCCATGCTGTCTCTTTAAAAGATCTAACCAGTTTGCTTTCTTTGCCGCACCCCCTTCTTCCTCACAACATTTGAGACATTCAAGTCTGCATTGAATTCCCTTTTAAAAATGACTATTGAAGAAAAATATTTTCACTGAAATGGTTGTGAACTTTTGGAATTCCCTATTCCTAGAGAGCTGTGAATGATCAGTCATTGCGTATGTGTATTCAAGACACATGTTGGTAGAATTTGTGTGTCCTGATGGGAAGAAGGGATATGGGGATAGTGGAGAGTTGAGATAGAAGATTAGCCATGATATCTTTGAATGGCAAAGTTGGTCCATGTGTTCTAAGCCCCTTCCTCCTTGTGTTCTTGAATTCTTATGAGATCAGTGTATACCAGCCGAAGTGAGGCAACAGTGGGTTTGTGAAAAAAATTGTTTTTGCAGAATAGGGAGTTTACTTAGCCAGAATGCAAAGCAGCAGAGAAAGAGCTCCATCTCTGGGATTGAATGTCTTACTCCAAGAAGCAGCTCACTTTCCCAGTCTTATAGTTATTGAGTAAAGTACTTTGCGTATGTTGATTTTTTTTTTAGAAAATGATGACCACAATGACTGTTTTGAAAATAAGCATGCCTATAAAAGAGGCAACTGATGTCAAGTAACATAAGATCTCTGTCATTTACAGGTTTCACTGTGCTTTTATTTGGTCTGAGTAAGTGAATCAGCCTTGAATTGAAAAGTTTATTCAAGACAACCATGATTCAGGTTCATTGCTTCCTCTCCCTACAGGTAGTCAGAAAAGTATCCCTGGTTGAAGAAGCATTTCTCCCTGAAGATGGCAGTGGGTGTATTGTTGGTATTGAGGACCTGCCAGATCAGGAATCTGTTTGTGTGGCTACTGGATCTGGGGATGTTATACTTTATAATCTAAACTCTAATCAGGTAAAACTCAATGCGATGGTCTTAGGGAAATAATTATTATCTAAAGAATATCTTTATTTATAAACATATTTTTCAGCAACATGAAATTGGTCAGATGATGCCTTGTATTCCATAGAAGTGAAAGGTGCTTCTAGTAGGAAGCAACCATAAAGTATCAACAGCAACACCTTTCATTTATGTCTCACCTTAGATGCACAAAACATTCCAAACTGCTCCATAGGAGCATTGAGAAATTAAATTTGGCACTGCTCCACATAATGAGATCGTGAACAAGTGACCAAAACGTTGGTCAAAGTTTTAAGCAGCATCTTAAAAGGAGCAAAAGAGAAAGGGAGAGGTGAAGAAGTTTAGGTAGGGAATTTCAGAGCTTAGGGCCTGTACAAGTAAAGACATGGTTGCCAATGATGGAGCAGTTAAAATTAGGAATGCGCAAGAAGTGAGAATTGTAGGTGTACAGAGATCTTGGTTGATTGGGCCAGTATTTATTGCCCATCTCTAATTACCCAGAGGGCAGTTGAGAGTCAACCGCATTGCTGTAGGTCTGGAACCGTAAGTAGGGCAGACCAGGTAACAATGATAGATTTCCTTCTCTGAAGGACATGAGTGAACCAGAATTGTTTTTTACAACAATCGATGGTGAGATTGTGCCAACTTTAGTTGCGGTTAGGCCAGCTTTTTACTTCATACTTTTTCACCTTCTGCCATGGTGAGATTCAAACCCATGTCCCCAGAAGGTTAACCTGGGATTCTGAATAACAAACCCAGTGATATTACCAATATATCACCATCTTCCATTACTTGGTATGATACGTGATATGGGCAATATAGATTTGTATGAACTCAGAATCTTAAGAGGTTGAGGAGCAAGTGGCTTCTCATGCTCCGGGCTTCGGGTTAAAGTGTAAAGTGTGGTTCTGGAGTGGATATGAAAGAGAGTGAGAAAGTATATAATGATGTAGTTAACAGAAGTATTGTGGTTAATTGTAAATTTCTGTCATTACCTCTAGCTAGAATGTGTTGGCAGTGTTGACAGTGGGCTGACTGGGATGAGCTGGAGTCCAGACCAGGAACTTGTTGTGTTAACTACAGGTATGTGTCGATCTGAAGGGGAACGGGATTAAGCAAATAGCTTTTTTTGAAGATACTGCTGATATATATTGTGAATGGCTCTATGTCTCACCTGTAAAATCCTACGAAAGCTCTACCTCTCTTTTCCCTCTTTGTAAGGATTGTTTAGGGAAGTGTTGTGTGCATTGTGTTGTGTTCCTGTATCTGAACCAGAAGGCCCAGGTTCAAATCTCTCCTCAGGACATGATGGCTGAAGAAGGTGCATTCATAACATGGTGAAACTGGTTAAAAATCAACCTGGAAGATCCTCCCAATATATGCCGATGACATACGGTAAAAGTGGGAGAGATTCTTGGTCAGCCATTTGATGGAAGGAACTACTATTGTTATATATGGCTCCAGGCTACAGCATTTATGTAAATGTGCATGTACCCACCGCAACTCAAGATTCTCAGGTTGGGGAAGTGGGGTGGGTGCTGTTCTCCTTAGTTAACTGGATGGCCAGTGTGGGTTAGATTGTGCCAACAGCACATGATTTGATCCCCGTTCTAGCTGGGATGGATTGAGGAAACGTTTGTGGACAGGGTTCCTGAGCTTGGAGCCTATGCATCTGAAGGCAAGGCTACCGCTGATAGAATGAATAATACTGAGCACGGGTAAGAAGCCGGAATTGGAAGAGTGCAGATATCTTAGAACTTGTAGGACCAGTCAAGGTGTGAGATGTTGAGGTGAGATCTAAAGATGTGAAGAGACCAAGACAAAGGTTTCAATTCGTACCCATCATTCTTAATTGGGGTGTAAGGCCGATGGATGTGCATTAACATAATTGATTTTTAAAGTTTAGCTGCATAATAAAACGTTTTGTATCTGTAAGAGTTCCTCCTGCATTACTAAGTAGCCCATGCTAACTGCAATCTGATTATTTGGGTTTGTGACCAGCAAGGAATCCAGGAAAAATGGAACTCCCGCTAATTTTATCTTGGTGGCCAGTCCCACGAGCAAGTTCTATGAAATTCCACTCTTGTTAATTCTGTGTGCACTTCTTGTAGCTGAAACCATCTGGTCTCACCAGTTCCTTGCTCCTACCAGCTTAACTGTTATTTCTGCTGTGTAGCCAGTGGAATTTGCTGTTGCCGGAGGGATGGGGAGGCCTTGAGCACCTTTAACAATCTCCAGCAGTACATCAGTAATATCAGAGAATGATCCTTAACTTCTGCAGCCCCTTGTCCCTCATTCCCATTGGTGATGCTGCAAACCGTGTCAAGAAGATGCGCCAGTTGTTTTTTTTTAAATTTCTTGTGCCATAGCCCCTCTAGGGCTAGGGAAAGGTTCAGCCAGGTTTCTGACCCCATGATCTCCCCTCTCCTGAAATTTGAGTACAAGTGAGAGAATGTTGGGTGAGGATATAATTGGTCTTGGTTATAGTGCCTTTCACATTTCAACGGCGTTTCAAAATTGGCACCGCTTACTTTGTATATTGGAAAGGTTAGGTACCAAAGGGATCCTGCAGTGTCATGAGACATATTCCTGTATGAGGAAACGAGGTAAAAATTGTTCAGGTGGGGAATTCATGAAACTAAGCTTAATATATAAGTAAGTTCCTGATCCATTGGCTGTTTCCCAGAATCTTTACTGTCTTCTGCAGTGATTCATTTTTCTACAACTCTTCAAAGAGCCTTCCTGAAGAATCAGTCAGTCCTCACTACCACCTCCTGGATGCTATTTCACAAATAAAATGTCTGTACATCCAGCTTCATTGCTTCTATCTCATGACTCTCCTTGCGCCAGTACACAAGAACATTCTGTTCACTTGCATGTTCTGGACCAGATTCCCTTTAAGTCTATGTCACTCCAGAAAACCAAATCAAAGACACATCCTGATTGAAACACCTTTTGATATTCCTAAAAATGCTTTGCAGTTAAAAACACAACACAACACAACACAAATGCTGTGTGAAATAATCTTCCTGGAGTGAGATACTTCCACTGCAATGGTAGCAAAAACACAAACAAATACATGCAGCATTTCAAACCTAGTTCATTCAGTTCTGTAGAAACAAAAACTCCATCTTCAGAAAGCACCATTGTTTTGAGTATTTCTGTTACAAAGCAGCAAGTGAAGTGAAAACATTGCTTTAACTGTGCACCTTATTCTGGCAAAAGACCATAGCAATGAGTGAAATTTATTGCTTTTGTAGGGCAGGAGACCATAATAATGATGACCAAAGACTTTGATCCAATTACTGAAGTCAAAATCCACCAGGATAACTTTGGTGAAGGTGAGTGAGCTGTCTTGTTTCATAAGTACCTTTTAAGCCCTATCTTTCTTTGTGAAATTCCAATATGAACACCCAGTCATTTGTAAGCTCCCCTGCTAAGATTTTGTGAATAATCAAAGAACACATTTCTGTCAGAATAAACTGAACTACATTCAAACTGTTGTGTTAGAAGAAGGTTTGCAATAACTTGTTCAGATTTTATTCTACTTCCTGTCAGAAACCTACTGTAGTTTACAAATATTATTTTTCCATCACTGTTACCCACTGTTTTGCTGTGTCATGGTTCTCTGTGGGTTAAGATCCAAATTTGAATTTGATATGTGCACAGGATAAGGAAAGACTATCGTGCTAATATTAACCCACCCTGTTTCTTACTGAATCCATTCCCCAGTACACTGCTTTTCTGAACTTTCTCCCTACACCACCTAAGGAAGAAGGACAGCCATAGACAATTCAGGAAATGTGTCAAAAAATTCTTTCTGATCTCTTAAACATGATCAAGCAAGTTCCTGATCCATTGGCTATTTCCCAGAATCATTACTGTCTTCTGTAGTGATTTCATTTTTCTCCAACTGCTTCAGATACCTTCCTGAAGAGCTCACGATCAATCCTTGCTGTCACCGCCTGGAGGATATCCTATGACTCTCCTTGCGCCAGTACACAAGAACATTCTATTCACTTGCATGTTCTTGACCAGATTCCCTTTAAATCTATGCCACTCCAGAAAACCAAATCAAAGACACAGTGCACATCTTCGCACTTTATGTGACACAAGTCTAATGGTCTGAAATTCTCCTTCTGTGCTTTATCATAGTTCAGTGACAATTATGACAAGAATTATTCTTGTTGCCCATTTTAGTATATATTCTACAGCCAATTTCAAAAGGGGGAATAATCTCTGATTACTGTGCCAAACTTCCATATAGCTCTTGCTGATCTTAGTAGATACTCAAAGACCCACTCTGTGCTTTTCTCTTCTGTAAAAGTATGGTATCTGACACACGCAAGAAAGGAACAGCGAGAGATAATCAATGCCTTTATCTTGGTTTTGTTTTTAAAACCTAACAGAAAAATAAAATTGTAATGTCTTATTTCCAACAAGCAGTTTTGTTGAACATGCATAGAAAATGTGCCTATAATTTGTGTTTTACTCTACAGGAGAATTTATCACTGTCGGTTGGGGGAAGAAGGAGACACAGTTCCATGGCACCGAGGGTAAAGAAGCAGCTCGCTGTAAGCCAACAGTGAGTTACATGTTGAATTTTTATACCTAGTCATTTGTCTAGGCATAAAGGCATCAAGGGATATGGAGAGAAAGTGGGAATATGGGATAGAGGATCAACCATGATCATATTAAATGATGGAATAGGCTCAAAGGGCTGAATAGCCTACTCCTGCACCTAATTTCAATATTTCTATGTCCCTTGTACAGTTCATGTTCAACTGAGTTAATTGCTGTGAACAATTTATTTATTTAGCTGCTGGTTGAACATGTTTTCCTGTTTTATCTTGGGGGCAAAGTAGTGCACTGCGACCCTCAACTCCTAACTCAGCACAGACTAGGTGTCAAACCTAGACATTTACTGCTGTGAATGTCTCAGCTACTCACTGCCTTGAACAACCAAGTTAGAGGACTTTAACCATTCTAGTCCTTCATGTGTTTTGGAATAGTATGTATTGCCTTCAGAAATATGTTATAGTTCTGATCATGGAATTGCTTATTCTCTTTACTAGGAAATTCAAGCAGCATTTCCTTGGGATGATCGGAGGTCACGTGTGACCTGGCGAGGAGATGGACAGCTGTTTGCAATCAGTGCCATTTGTCCTGTGACTGGTATGTATCTGACTTCAATTTTGACATTTGATCAAAGGAAATGAATCACTTGCACAGTTTCTAGAGTACCTTGCAATCGGACTTTTTTGTAATGCTGCATGTCTGTGCACGAAAATTGATTCCATCTTGTCTTGCAAGCAATGGGCTACTTCCAGCCATTTGAGAGATCTGAGTCCAAATTATGAGATGTATTTATATACTAAAAGGAGAAATGATTCCAGATAGAGTGGTGTCTGATCTACGCCAACCTATCAGAGTCCTAAGGTCGTTTTTCACCTTCTCCTAATTTTTCTTAATACGAATGGATGTGTCCTGTATTTTCATAATTTGTATATGTGTGATATCAGTTCAAAATCATCCAAGTGAGGGAATAAATTAATCAATGATGATGGATGTGCCTGGTGCATGACATTGGATGTACGTGACTAGAACATTTAGTTGGCTGCTAAACAAAATCTTCCCTTGTATGCCCTTGCTGCAATCTGATGGTATGCTATTGTTGATCATGAAACCCTGAAATCTAGAGCTGCTACTGGATATAATGATCTGAAAGTCAAGCATGGGAATGTTTCTTTGGTTGATGCTTGTCACAATTGTACTAAGGTCTGCATATTTTAATGAGTGGTACCGTTATTCAATAGGATGTGATCGGCATCCATGCTGTGACCCAGTATACTTGTTCTGCACTAATTGTTTCAGCTTTGAATATCTGCTGTTCACCTAATACAGACTCGCATCCTTATAGAATGTCTGAAGACAAACTAGTGCCCAGCCTACTTTGATGGGATGATAGGCAGAGAATCTAGGTTCAGTTGAATCCAAGTTGACACACCAAATGATGGAAATTTGGAACCAACACAACCCACTTTGGCTCTTGGATGATTCAATTCTGAGACTGGCCGTTTGGCAGTACACTGAGGTACCGATAATAATTGCCTAGCCAGCTGGTTCACTGAAGGAAACCAGAGGGTTAAGTTATCCCCAGGGGTGGGAAATGTGGTTTGAGGGGAAACATGCCTGTGCTCTAATATTGGTTTCTTTCTATTGCTTGTCATAGATTCGTGACAACACAGAAGGTGGTTATCCAGCCCATTGAATCTTGTGCAAAGAATGGTCTTCTTCCAACCCCTCTATGAGATTAAAAACCATGACGTGAGATTAATTTGTGTCCAATCAGTTTGAACTCTTTCTCACGTAACCCAAGATAACTTTTGGTCCAAAACTGTAAAGGGTATAGTGATCCTAGCTGTACAGATAGTGGGAAACCAATCACTTTTTTATGTGGCATGATAGAAACTAAATAAACTGCAACAGTTCCTCTGCATACAGCTGAGAATCCCTAAGTCTTGGATGTGCCAGCCTGGATCAAAACTCCCTGGTCTTGGGTAAATGGGATATGTTCCTACAAGGAAAGAATGCCCATTCCCTATGGGGTAAATAGAATTGATAACTCTTCAGTATAATATCTAAGGAATAATGCTGGTCAAACAGAAAATATGTTGTTATTGTTGAAAATTGTTTGTACAGTCAGAATAGGAGCTAATCATTTTCCCTGATGGGAATAGTGTGCTATGGGTAGCAGTTGCTTATCACAGTGCCCTGGGAAACAAATTTTAGAATTAAGGATTCTCACGTAATCTTTGAATCGGTATGTTTGTTTCTAAATAGTTACATCCATTGTGAATTTTAGCAAGTCCTTGCAAAAGTGCAAATTTAGACTGATTCTGCCTGTCCTAATTGGAAAAGAAGGAGAATGCCTTTAGCCTAGATACTTTGATATTTTTATCGCACTAAACATCACTCATTAGAAGATTATACTAATCAGCACTGAACAAGTTTTAGTATATTTACTCTTCTGGATACTGATACCAAATTATTTTAGTCTTTGTTTCCCAACTTCCCATTTTTCAAAAAAATTATGTACAAAAGGGCTTGTATTTTCATAATTTATACATGTCTGATATAATTTCTATTTCTATATTTTTCACGTAGGATCCAGAAAGCTGAGAATATGGAACAGAGAATGTGTGCTTCAGTCAACCAGTGAGTCTGTTAGTGGCCTTGAACAGTCCCTGTGCTGGAAGTGAGTAACTGAAATGAAATTGCACCCTGCTGTTTGTTTGGAAATTTATAGATATTAGTTTGTGGGGTACACTTGCCTTCGCGTGACTAATGCAATTTGGGTAGTAACTTGCTGTAAAATATAACCCAGTGCCAACAACAAACTATTATTACTGCACAAGTCACCCAGCGAGTTCAGACAAGGACAAGATACGCTCTGAGTTGCGAGCTTCCATTTACGTTTTATCACTGCTTGCGGCATACAGATGGAATTTCTATTATCTAACGGAGCTTGCTGGATTTAGTTGCCCTTTACCTCTCTGCAATTGTTAAGAACTTTGTGCATTAATTGCCCATTTATCAGTCCAGAGGGGAAAATCTATACATTATCACATTTCCATGTTTGCCACCTGCAGCCTGATATAAAACAAATCAGAAGAAAACTGAAGTTATACTCAAAGAAAAGGTGAGCTATCATAGTAAGTGCTCCCTTTATTATTATTATTATGCAGGACTGAATTGGAGTCTGAAGGAAACCTTGTCAGCATGAGCTCATGGGGTGAGCCTCAGTTGCTGCCTATTGTATATTGGAAATAGAAAGCACAATCTCCTATGTTTGCTGCCTGTTCATTTTCATGGTTTTAAAAAGTTGGAAACAGTTTTGGTAGAATTTAGCCTATGGAAATAAGACTTGCATGAACATAAACCCTTGCCGGCCTCTGGATATTCCAAATTGCTTTACAGACAATAAAGTACTTTTGATGTTGTATTCACTGCTCTAATATAGGAGGCTAATTTGAGCACCACATATTGATAGCAACAGCAAGGTGATCATAACCACATTACTGTACAATATATTAGGTAATCCAAATGATAGATCAGTACTCAAGTGGATTGTGGACAGTATGGGTAAAGGAGTTATAGGAAGTTTGTGAAGAAGAGATTTGGCCATTATTGAGGATTAGAAACTCTTAAGAAAAAGAACATTGAGAGGATATTTGATTGAGATATTCAAAATTATAAGTGCTCTGGGCAGAGTAGACAAGGAACTGTTCCCATTTGTAGATGAATTTAGAACCAGATAGCACAGATCTAGGGTAATCGACAAAAGAAGCAATGGCAACATGGGGATTTTATTTTCAAGCAGTGGGTGTTTAGGACCTGGAATGCATTGCCTGAGAGCGTGATGGAGGCAAGATGAATGGAGGCTTTCACAAGGGAATTGAATCATTATCTGAAAAAGAAATAAACAAGTCTATAAGATAAAGGCAATGGAGTGGCACTAGGGAATATGCACTTTCAGAGGTTCAGTGCAAACACAACAGGCCAAGTAGCCTCCTCCTTTGCTGTAACTATTTTGATTCTTTAAACACGCTACATAGCTCTAGTAATTAACAGTGCAAGTTTTTTTGACAATAGTGATTACTCTCGATGACTGCCAATTGTCTGCTCGCTCATACAGCAAACTTTGGATCGCCACAATGCCATAATTTACATAGTGGAGATTTTATAGATATTGAATCATTTTAAAAGAAATTTTGTGCTCTTAATCCAAATTTTCTTTTCCTTACTTTATTTCAATTTCTGTACCTTATTTGATGCTAAATCACCATATTTCCTTCCCTGTGATTGCTCTGTTTATTAGTTAATCCTTAAAATTCACTGGTCAGACTATTTGGACAGTTGATCCCTTCATTTGTTCAAATCCTAGATGCCTGGTATCCCCTGCCATGTCTTTATCAAAATGCACAGCAAATTGCTGGACAACATCATTTTCAAGCTGAAGATGCAGGAACCGTCTAACAAAGAGGGCATGCCACGAGATGTTGCAATGAGCAAATTCCACCTCATTACATTTATCAAGTTTCCATCTTATAGGACATGTTTCTTTTAGGAAGAATTCTTCCATAGGACTTTGTAACACCCAAGAAGGGTGTTTATAGTTTCCAAGAGGTCTTTGTTCTCTCTTTTTTTTATCTCTGGCATCTTCTGTATTTCTTTGAACCATTGTCCTGTTGAAATGTTTGTCCAGCAACTCTGTCCCAGGTTTCCAACAATTTTTCTTAGTAGCAAGCTCACAGATGAGATGCTGAGGTGGCTTCTCTTTCTGTGGCGTGCTTATAGAATCATACCATAGTTGCTGCACAGAAGGAGGCCATTTGGTCTATCATGTTATTACTAGCCCTCTGAAGGAACTATTTACCAACTGGCACTCCCCTGCCTTTTCTCAGGTCCTGTAAATCTTTCCATTTCATCCCTTCATTCTATCATATCTTCAAAAGGCATATGTATGTGGCCTATTCTGATGCTGCAGTGTTTGCATTGACTCAGTTGTTTCTTACTTTTCTGTCATGGTTGTGGGCTTCACTTGGAAGGACAGCATTTGTTGTCCATCCTTAAATGCTCTTGAACTGAGTGGGTTACGAGGCCCTTTCAGGGGGCTGTTAAGAAATAACGCATTGGTGTGGGTCTGAAGTTGCATGTAAGCCAGAATGGTTGGTTTCCTTCTCTGATGGTGTTTTTACAAAATCCAATAATACTTTAAATGATCACAACTAGTTTTTTTCATAGTTGTAAATTTGGGAACTGAATTCATAACATCTGCCATGGTGAGATTACCAAAATGCCACCATCTCTCACCCAACTCTGACCTCTGAGTCGGAAGGTTGTAGATTCAAGCCTTGTTCCAGAAATTCCAGTGCATTGTCCAGGCTGAGACTCCCAGTTCAGTGCTGAGGAAATGCTACACTTTTGAGGAACTGGCTTGCAGCTGGGATTTTAAATCAAGGCCAGTCTGCCCTCTCTGATCAATGTAAATTATTTCAAAGAAGAGCAAGAGAGTTCCACCTTATCCTGGCAATTTTTACTATCATCCAGTAACTCCAAAACAGTTTATCTGGCTATTATTTCATTGTTATTTCTGAGGTACTTTCCACCACAATCTAGCTGTTGCATTTTTCTATTCGACAGTGACAATATTTTTAAAAACAGAGCTACTTCATTGACTGTAAAGTGCTTTGGGCCATCCTGAAGTACTATAAAGATATGGATTGTTTTCCTGAGTTTGAAAACTTGACTTACATGAAGATAGGTGAATAACCCTAGCTTTGGATACAATAACTTAGCCCTCTAGAGCACTGCACTATCATGTTTTTCTAAAATCTTTTGCTTCTATACGCTGAAAATTTTGAAGTGAACTATGTTTGCTGCATTTAAATTACTTTAAAAACAACTTGTTAAAAAATCGGATGTGACTTTGGCTCCACGCCATACTCCTACACTTCAATCAGAAGGTTGTAGACTTAAACCTAATTAAAATCGTTAAAACATTAACTTAAACCAAATTTAGGATTGAGATGATGAGGAACCTTTCCTGATAAAATCATCAATGGAAACAAGGAAAGTGCAAGAAAACAGTGTTGAAACACCAGACAAGCCAAGATCTCTTTTGAGGAATGAGCTCAAAGGACTGAATGGTCTGCTCCTATTTCTTACGTAAATGCTCCTCTGTAGTTATTGGTGCATTGTTTGCTGGACTGGTATTAGCACAAGGCTGAGAGGACTGAGAAGTTCTCACTGAACAATGACGTCCACATTCTGAACTCTCTATTGGTCTGACATGTCTAGCCTGGGCTATTCCTTAGAGACCTTCCAGCTGTTGATCAGAGCCACACAATTTCCATAATTAGGGCTGCACATTGCTATTATTCTGTGAGTAGATTGAAAAGATACTTGTTTTTTTTTCCAAAATCTATTTTGTTCTATTTTTAAAGGAAGTAAGTTGTCTGTCCATAAGAAGTCTCAATTTTCTATGGCCGTGACATTTGCGATATTCCATTTCTAGACCGTCAGGAAACCTGATTGCATCCACACAACGAAAGCTTAACAAACATAATGTTGTGTTCTTCGAACAAAACGGTTTATTACATGGAGAATTTTCACTTCCTTTTCATAAAGACCAAGTTAAGGCAAGTACTAAAGCTTCCTTTCTCTCCTTTGAACTTTCGTCTCCTTTCCATTGGTACTTTGTCCAGATGGTCTTTCTTTAGAATTGACTTAGGGCTTAATAGCCTAAATTGGCTTAACGCTCATTTGAAAAACCACTCCTCTCCATGTCCACCCATGTGCAGTGAGGGTAACCCTACAATATAGTCAACCCTAAATATTGTTGAGATTGGGTAACAAGCATGATTGCCTGTTGACATTGTTGCCATCCAGTAACTTGGAAGTGCAATGAATTTATAGCAGTCTCACAGCAAACAATTTATTTACAACAAACGATATCTGTATATTCAACAAGCTGTCTATTTAAACAAGACAGTACAGTGAACAGTTTACACATAAATGGTCTTTACAGACTACAGCAACATCTCTTGATAAAAGCTGAGTGATTTCTCCAGCAAAATCCGGTAAATGGAGGATTGCAACACAAATTATGTACATAAGAACATAAGAACTAGGAGCAGCAGTAGGCCGTCTGGCCCTTCGAGCCTGCTCCGCCATTCAATAAGATCATGGCTGATCCTTTCTTGGACTCAGATCCACTTACCCGCGTTCTCACCGTATCCCTTAATTCCTTTATTGTTCAAAAAAAATCTACCTTTTTTTTAAAAACATTTACTGAAGTAGCGTCAACTACTTCACTGGGCAAGAAATTCCATAGATTAACAACCCTCTGGGTAAAGAAATTCCTTCTCAGTTCAGTCCTAAATCTGCTCCCTCTAATCTTGAGGCTATGCCCTCTTGTCCTAGCTTCACCTGCCAGTGGAAACATCCTCCCTACTTCTATCTTATCTATTCCCTTCATAATTTTATATGTTTCTATAAGATCCCCCCTCAATCTTCTGAATTCCAATGAATATAATCCCAATCTACTCAGTCTCTCGTCATAAGCCAACCCCCTCAACTCCGGAATCAACCTAGTGAACCTCCTTTGCACCCCCTCCAGTGCCAGTACATCCTCTCTCACGTAAGGAGACCAAAACTGTACACAGTACTCCAGGTGTGGCCTCACCAGCACCTTGTACAGCTGCAACATAATCTCTCTGCTTTTTATTTCAATCCCTTTAGCAATGAAGGATAAAATTCCATTTGCCTTCCTAATTACTTGTTGTACCTGCAGACCTACCTTCTGTGATTCATGCACAAGGACACCCAGGTCCCTCTGCATAGCAGCATGCTGCAACTTTTTACCATTCAAGTAATAATCCTTTTTACTATTACTCCTACCAAAATGTATGACTTCACATTTATTTACATTGTATTCCATCTGCCAGACCTTTGCCCACTCACTCAATGTATCTATGTTCCTCTGCAAAGTTTCACAGTCCTCTGCACACTTTGCTTTGCCACTCATCTTAGTGTCATCTGCAAACTTTGACACCTTACACGTGGTCCCCAACTCCAAATCATCTATATAAATTGTAAATAATGTAGCCGACTGAGCACAGGCAACATTGTCACAGTAGCTGTGGATTAATCCATTGAGCAATGTTTCTGAAACATTATAATACAGATTTCAAATATTCTTCAAGATATTGTGCAATCATACTTTTAACTTTCAAGTACCTGAAATACTAAATTCTCGGAGTGTGGTTAATTTGCAGGTGCTAAAATGTGCTGAATAGGTTAAAAAATGCATTTGCAAAGTGAATATCCATTTTATCTCGACTTAGCTTTAATTATAGAATGTTTTAAATTGCTTTTCATTTAATAAGTTGTAGTTGTGTTACTAATAGATTGGCTTCTTTGGTGTTCTTTATATGTGTTGCTTATTTTTGTTGTGTGAAATTCTTCATCTGTTTGTTGTTCCCTCTATTTGCCTTTACTCTGATATTTGAAGTATCAAAGCATCATCCTGTAATTTCTCCTTGTTAATACTTTTATATGCGCAATGAAACAATGTATGTTGTAACATTTCGGTTTGACTGGATAGAGCTTACAAAATAATGTAGTTTGCACATAAACTTATTGGATTATATGATACAATGCAAGTTTATGTTGAATACAGCTCTTATAACACAATAAGATAAATATATTGGTGTAAATTGGATTATGTTCTATTTCATTATATGTAAAAACACTAACAAGGATACATTATTCTTTGTAAGCATATAGTTAATACTGAGGAAAACTGCAACAAAATACAAGTCAATATTAACAAACTCGATGAATGAATTAATAAATGACAAATTAATTGCTTTATACATTTGTATTTTAGTGGGATGTAGAGGCTGTCTACTTCTTGGAAAATAATGCGAGTAGAAGCACAGAGGCACAGATTAACAACTCATTCAAAGTAGCCAAAAAAAATTAATCCAAAATGTAATCCAATAGCAGAACACTCAGTTTCCTTATAGAGGACAAAACATCAGAAACGGTAGTTGTGTTAAATTTGTATAGAACCTTGGTTAGACCAAGTACTGTGTAGAATTCCGGTCGCCAATTATAGAAGGGATATAGAAGCATTGGAGAAAGTGTCAAATGGCTTACAATATAGAATACAATACAGAAACTGCAGGAGTACAACAATCTGTAAGGATTGAGCTGGGGAGGGAGGGGCGGGATGGTGTGGGGTTGTTGGTTTCCTCTACAAGAATGAAGGCAAAGAGATTACTTTTGAAATGTGTGTCAGGTTATGATAGAGTAGATACGCAGAGAATGTTTCCTGTTGTGGCATGTAAAATGCCATAAGTTCAACATTTATTAAATCCAATCAGAAATTCAGGAGAAACATCTTTACCAGACCGTGATAATTATTTGAAACTCAACCAGAGGGAGAGGTTCATAGAATTGTAGAACCCCTACAGTGCGGAAATAGACCCTTCGGCCCAACAAACCCACACTGCCTTTCAGAGCATCCCACCCAGACCCAACCCTCATAACCCACCTAATTAATACATCCCTCAACAGTATGGGCAATTTAGCTTGGCCAATCCACCTAACCTGCACTACTTTGGACTGTGGGAGGAAACTCACGCAGACACAGGGAGAATTGTACAAACTGCATGCAGACAGTCGCCCAAGAGTGGAATCGAACCTGAGTCCCTGGCGCTAGCCACTGTGCTGCCCAGATTACTCCCTGGTGAAGCTAAATAAGTATATGAGAAAGGAATAGAAGGATTTGTCCATATCCCTGAGCGCAGCAAAACTCTTTGTTTTGTTTCTCTGCTATACATTCTATATAGTACTCACTAAAACTTTTGACACTTCGTAGTTGATTGTGATTTCATTGGATTTTTCAAAAATTGTTTTGTGTGACAGGTTATCATCAGTGGTTGATACATCTTATCTAACCTGCCCTGCAGTTTCTGACTGGATTGGATAATGTAGTTAGATTAAAAGCTGGTGAATTGAAAATGTAGTTATGTTTCTAAAATGTAGGTATTCTGAATAGTTTTGGAAGTAACCCACCTACAGTGCTCTGTATGGTACTGACGAGCTTCATTTTTTTTACTGTTAATTAGGTAAATGAGCTGCTATGGAACAGTGACTCCACTGTGCTAGCGGTTTGGCTAGAAGATTTGAGATCAGATGAGAATGACCGTCAAAATACATACGGTAATGAGTTATCTTCCAGACTGTCTATAGTTTGTTTATTTTTTTCTTTTGTTCCTCTCTGATATCCTGCATCCAAACAAAATGTTAACTTGATTTGAACAAAACTTCTTCTGTATGCTTTGCAATATGACAGAAAAATTACTGCCTAAAACTGCCAAGTGGGCTAAAATTCTGATGTTAAAGTAAGTATGGCTTAGAATCATACAACTCAGGAACAGACCACTGTGCCTATCATGTGTCTGCTAGCCGTTTGAAAGAGCTATCGAATTAGTCCCACAGTTTCACCAGAGTCTCTAAATTTGTTTTTATTTTTCAATTATTTATCCAATAATTTTTTAAAACTTACAGTTAAAATCTGCATCTGTCCAGCCCTTTTGGGGCTATTCAGGTAATCATAACTAGCTACATAGAAAAAAAATTCTCTTCACACCCCTCTGGTTATTTTACCTATCGCTTAAAATCTGTGTCCTCTGGTTACCTATCATAGAAACAGTTTCTCTATGTGAATTATATCAAAACCCCTCAGAGTTTTAAGCACTTTTAACATTGTGACAAGTTGTGGTATCAGCAGATAGTTTCTGAGTGAGTGATTCTGCTTTTCATTAAACAAATGGAGCCATTGATATGGTCCCATCTTGATAAGACCACAAGACAATAAGAAATAGGAACACAAGTAAGCCACTCAGAACTCTCAAGCCTGATCCGCCTCATGGCTGATCCATATGACACTCTTCATTTCCACTTTCCTGCCCTTTCTCCATCACCCTTGATTCCAGTACTGATCAAGAATCTACCTATCTCTCATTTAAATTATCGCAAGGGCTCTGCCTCTACAACCCTCTGTGGCAAGGAGTCCCAAAAGCTCTCAACAATCTGAGAGAAAAAATTTCCTCCTCATCTCAGTCTTAGTGTGTGTCCCCTAATTCTGAGACTATGGCTTCTGGTCCTTGACTCTCCTGTCAGGGGAGTCATCCTCTCAGTATTTACCTTGTCAGGCCCCTTAAGAATCCTATTTGTTTCAATAAGATCACCTCTCATTTTTCTAAATTCCAATGAGTAGAATCTCAACATGTTCAACATTTGCTAAGAAGACAATCCAAACATGCTGGAGATCATCCTAATGAACTTTCCTGAACTGCCTCCAATCAAATAATATGTTTCCTTAAATAAGGGACCAAAACTGCTCTCAGTAATCCAGCTTTCTCTGTTTCATGCATAAGAATCCCTAAGTTCCTCTGTGTTGCAGCTTTTCTCCATTCAAATAATATCCCATTATTTTGTTTTGCATTCCAAAATGAACAATTTCTCATTTTACCCATATTATACTCCATTTAGAGTTCTAGAGTTACTATATACAGCATAGAAATGGACCTTTCAGTCCAACTCGTCTGTGCCGACCAGATGTCCTAAACGGATCTAGTCCCATTTGCCAGCATTTGGCCCATATCCCTCTAAACCCTTCCTATTCATGTACCCATCCAGATGCCTTTTAAATGTTGTAATTGTACCACTTCCTCCACTTCCTCTGGCAGCTCATTTCCATATACGCACCTCCCTCTGTGTGAAATGCTTCCCCCACTTCCATCTTAAATCTTTCCCCTGTCAGCTTAACCTGATGCCCTCTTGTTTTGGACTCCCCTACCCTGAGAAAAAGACCTTGGCTATTCATTCTGTCCATGCCCCTCATAATTTTATAAACCTTTATAAGGTCACCCCTCACAATGGCCCAACTCCTATACTCAGTGCACTGAACAATGAAAGTAAGTGTGCCAAATGCCTTCTTCACCACCATGTCAACCTGCAACTCCACTTTAAAGGAACTATGCACCTGCACCTCTAGGTCTCTTTGTTCCAACAACACTCCCCAGGGCCCTGCCACTAACTGTATAAGTCCTAGCTGGTTTCCCTTACCAAAATGCAACACCTCACATTTATCTAAATTAAACTACATCTGCCACTCCTTGGCCCACTGGCCCATCTGATCAAGGTCCTGTTGTACTCTGAGATAATTTTCTTCATTGACCCCTACACCACCAATTCTGGTGTCATCTGCAAACTTACTCACCATACCTCCTAAATTCACATCCAAATCATATATTTTAATGACAAAAAGCAGTGAACCCAGCACTGATCTTTGCAGAACACCACTAGTCACAGGCCTCCAGTCCGAAAACAACCCTCTACCACCACCTTCTGTCTCCTACCTCCAGACAATTTTGTATCCAATTGGCTAGCTCCCCCTGGATTCCAGGTGATCTAACCTTGCTAACCAGTCTATCAAGTGGAACCTTGTCGAATGCCTTGCTGAAATCCACGTGGACAACGTCTACCGCTGTGCCTTCATCAATCTTCTTTGTCACCTCTTCAAAAAACGCAATCAACTTTGTGAGAGACGACTTCCATGCACAAAAGCATATTGACTATCCCTAATCAGTTCTTGCTTTCCAAATGCATGTACGTCATGCTCGTCAGAATCCCCTCCAAACACCTATCCATCATTGACGTCAGGTTCGTCGGTCTATAATTCCCTGGCTTTTCCTTAACATTTCTCTTAAATAATGGCACCATGTTAGCCACCCTCCAGCCTTCTGGCACCTCGCCCCTGGCTGTCGATGATACAAATATCTCAGCATTTGCCAAATTTTTGCTCACTTACATAACCTATCAATATCTCTCTGTAAACTGTTTGTATCCCTCTAACTACTTGCTCTACCATCTATTTTTCTGTCATTTTCAAATGTTGCTACAGTACATTAGCTTCCTTCTATCAAGTAACTAATATATATTGTAAACAGTTGTGGTCTCAGCACTGATCCCTGTGGAACTCCCCTGGTTAGAGGCCACCAACCTGCAAAAGAAAGCCTTATCCCACTTTCTTGCCCATTAGCTAATTCTTTATGCATGCCAATATATTAGCTCCAACACTACAAGCTCTTTTCTTTCAGCTTGACTTAATGTGAGGTAGCTTGTTGAATGCCTTCTGGAGATCTGAATACAACACATCTACTGGTTCCCCTTCATCTACTTTGGTTGAGACTTTCTTGAAAACCTCTAGTAGAGTAGTCAGACATGATTTCCCTTTCATGAAGCCATGCTGACTCTGCTTGATTAAATTATGATATTCCAAATGTTCTGCTATTACTTTCTTAATATGATTCTATGATTGTACTTTCTTAATAATTGAGCCCAATATTTTTGAACATTAGATGTTAGATCATTTAACCTATAATTATGTTTATTTTGTTTCCCTCCCATTTTGTACAGGGGTGTCACATTGACAGTTTTCAAATCTTCTGTTATTTCTCCAGAACGTAAGGACTTTTGGAAAATTACAGCCAACACATCCATTATCTTTGTAACTACCTCTTTCAGAATCCTAGGATGCAAGCCATCAAGACCAGGGGATTTATCTGCCCTTAGCCCCATTAATTTGTCTAATACTACTTCCGTACAGATGGTTATAGTGCTTAATTCCCCCCCCATATTTTTTAGTATTAATGGGACATTCGTAGTATCTTCCACTGTAAAGAATGGTGCAAAATATCTATTTAACTCCACTGCCATTTACTTGTTCCCATAACTATAGAAACAGAACAGTACAGCAGAGGAACGGGCCCTTCAGCCCACAATGTTGTGCCGAAAATGACGCCAAATTAAACTAAACCCATCTGGCTGCCCTTGGTCCATATCCCTCCATTTCTTGCATATTCAAATGCTTATCTAAAAGTCCCTTAAATGCCCTTATCAAATGTGCCTCCACCACCACCCCTGAAAGTGCGTTTCAGACTCCTACCACTCTCTGTGTTTTAAAAAAAACTTGCCCCTCATGTCTCCTTTGAACTTTCGCCTCTCACTTAAATGCATGCCCCCTAGTATTAGACATTTCAACTCCGGTAAAGAGATTCTGACCGTCAAGCCTATCTATGCATCTCATAATTTTATAGACTCCTATCAAGTCTCCCCTCAGTCTCCGCCGCTTAAGAGAAACCAATCCAAGGTTTTCTAGTCACTCATTATAGCTCATACACTCTAATGAAGGCAGCATCCTGGTAAATCTCTTCTGTACCCGCTCCAAAACCTCCACATCCTTCCTGCAATGTGGCGACCAGAATTGAACGCAATACTCTACATATGGCCTAACCAAAATCTTATAAAGTTGTAACATGACATCCAGACTCTTGTACTCAGTTCCCTGACCAATAAAGGCAAGCATGCCATACTCCTCCTTTACCATCCTATCTACATTCATGGCGTCTTTCAGGGAGCTATGGACTTAACCCCAAGATCCTTCTGTACATCGATGCTGTTCAGAGTCCTACCATTAACTATATACTTTTCCTTAACATTTGATCTTCCAAAGTGCAGCACCTCACACTTAGCCGGATTAATCTGCATCTGCCATTTCTCCGTCCATATCTGCAACTAATCTACATCCCTCTGTATCCTTTGACAACTTTCTACACTATCTACAACTCCATTGATCTTTGTATCGTCTGCAAACTTACTAACCCACTCTTCTACATTTTCATCCAAGTTATTTATGTATATCACGAACAACAGAGGTCCCAGTACGGATCCCTGCGGAACACCACTAGTCCTGGACCTCCAGCCTGAAAAACACCCTTCTACCTTTACCCTCAGTCTTCAATGGGAAAGCCAATTCTGAAACCATGCAGCCAAGTCACTATCAATTCCATGCATCTTAATCTTCTGGATGATCCTACCACAAGGGACCTTGTCAAAAGCCTTACTAAAATCCATGCAAGCAACATCCACTGCTCTACCCTCATTGATCACCTTCTTCACCACCTCGAAAAATTCAATCAAGTTAGTAAGACATGCCCTGCCCTGCCCTGCACAACGCATGCTGACTGTCCCTAATTAGACCGTGATTTTCCAAATACATGTAAATCCTATCCCTAGGAATTCTCTCCTGTCGCTTCCCAACCACTGATATGAGACTCACTGGTCTATTGTTTCTTGGATTATCCCTATTTCCCTTCTTGAAAAGAGGAACAACATTAGCTACTCGCCAGTCGTCCGGGACTTCTCCTTTGGCTAGCAAGGATACAAAGATCTTGGTCAACACCCCAGCAATCTCCCCTTGTGTCTCTGTCAATAACCTGGGGGTAGATACCACCAGGCCCTGGGAACTTATCTATCTTAATGCTCTTCAAGAGATCCAACACCACTTCTTTCTTGATCTCAGAATGCTCTAGCATATTAGCATGTTCCACACAAATCTCACTATCCTCCTCCTGGGTGAATGCAGATGCAAAGTACTCATTCAGGATCTCCCCAGACTTCTTGTGTTAACTCATCAGAGAATTATTGATTATTACTGGGTTATATTATTGATTGGGGGTGAAAGATGGTGTGGGACTCATGAATGTTTCAATCCTGCAACCAAGTCAACCCTGCCTCCAAATTCAATTTGAGTGATAGTGAACCTACTTTGTGGTTCATCTGCTGTCCTTCAGCTGCCTGCATGCAAGCACCCACATGGGAGGCATGCTGTTTTTTAAAAAAAAAAGAAACAAAAAAATGACACTTTCTAAATGGAGATTATAGAAATTGAATCCTTGGTGACTAAAGCAATACTTGCATCTTTTTATTCTTGTTGTCTTGCAGTTCAGTTGTGGACAATGGGTAACTACCACTGGTACCTGAAGCAGAGTCTGCATTTCGGCTGCAATCAGGTGGAACAGATTGTATCCCTAATGTGGGATCCTGAGAGTCCCTATCGACTGCACGTCCTCCGCAGTGGATGGCTTTACCAGTCCTATAATTGGCATTGGACCATCAATCGTAGTACAGGAAAAGATAGCAGTGACCTTGCTAACATAGCTGTGATTAATGGAGGTAAAAATTTTGTTTGAGCCTGAGAATTGTTGGTCTGTAATGTTTAGCATTTGAAGTAGGTAAATGTCAAAACTAACTTTTTTAATTGTTAAATTGTGAAACTGTTATAAATGAAAACATCTATTTCCACTGCCACCCCTCTGGCCTTCACACAAGAGAATTAGTTCCATTTGAAATCAATACTGTCAAGTACACTTTTTCACGTGGCCATTCAAATGGGAATGAATCAAGCAAATGCCTTCAAAACTGTTTATTTATTTAGAGATAGTAGGAACTGCCGATGCTGGAGTCTGAGATAACAAGGTGTAGAGCTGGATGATCACAGAAGGCTAGGCAGCATCAGAGGAGCAGGAAAGCTGACGTTTTGGGTCTGGACCCTTCTTCAGAAATGGGGGAGGGGAAGGGGACTCAAATAATTAGAGAGAGGGGGAGGCGCTGATGGAAGGTGCATAAAGGAGCAGACAGGTGGAGAGAAGACGGACAGCTCAAGGAGGCGGGGATGGAGCCAGTAAAGGTGATTGTAGGTAGGGAGTTGGGATGGGGGTTGGTCAATTGGGAGGGAGGGGTGGGTGGGTGGGAGGAAGGGAAGGCGGACAGGTCAAGGAGGCGGGAATGATGCTAGTAGGTAGGAAGTGGGGGTGGGGGTGGGGGTTGGTCAGTGAGTAGGAGGAGCAGATAGGTAGGAGAAAAGACAGACAGATCAAGGAGGCGGGGTCGAGCTGGGCTGGTCTTGGGATGAGGTTGGGGGTGGGGAGATTTTGAAGCTTGTGAAGCCCACATTGAGACCATTGGGATGCAGGGTTCCCAAGCGAAATATGAGGTGCTGTTCTTGCACCTCATTTATTTATATTTGTAAGATGCAGCAGTCAAATGGATAGCATAATTGCAAACTCAGAGGGAGTTTGCTTGGCTTGTGTGACCTTGCCAGTTTTTTTGAAAAGAGCTGTTCAACTGGGACTCCATCCAATGAGCTTCAAATTGTTCCTTGTTATGTATTTATCTAAACTATCTTCCTCAAAGTTAAGATTGTAACTGCTCCCAGTGACTTTGCAAATCGCAGTCAGAAGTCACACGACACCAGGTTATAGTCCAACAGGTTTATTTGAAATCACAAGCTTGCGAAGCACTGCTCCTTCTCCTGACAAAGGAACAGTGCTCAGAAAGCTTGTGATTTCACATAAAACTGTTGGACTATAACCTAGTATCGTATTACTTCTGACTTTGTGCGCCTCAGCCCAATACCAGCACCTCCATATCTTTGCAAATCACGACAACTCATTGTATGGAACTGGATCAAGTCCTCTATGTCCCAAGCCTGGCTCGTTTTTTGGGAGGATTCTTTTGATCAAAACCATGTGAGGCTTACTGCAAAAATTAGCTGGATTAATGCTAGATGGCAGCATAGGGACGGTAAAATTGCAGCAGGCATTTTGCATCACATTCTAGAAAATTCTTACATGTCAGCGTAGGAAAGGACAGCATTCAAACGTAATTGTGATATGCATCAACAGTTAAATAACTGATTTATGTTTGCTTTATTTTCTTAGGCGCATGGAATAATCTTTTAGGTGACATCTCAAAGATGCTAGGGTCCATGGAATGATGTCCCAGCCTGTAACACTGGTACCTTTAGCAAAGGAGAGGAGAATGTGGGGCAGATTCCTCCCTGCTCTCTGAATATCTCATTACTGTTTGTGGTCGCTTGTTTTGTGCAGGTTGGCTGCTGTGTTTACAACGTTATGACATTGACTCAACATCAAAAGTAGTTTGGTATTTTAGGATGCCCTGAGTTCTTGAATGACATTGTTCAATTGCAATTTTTTTTATATTTCCCTCTGTTTTACTTGTTGTATTTCAGGATCTATTATGTATGGATTTATAGGTTTCTCAGAACATCTCTTAGAAGCAATTTGTACCATGAATAAGTTCTCATATTAGCCAGTAATGCAAGATCTTATGAATCACAGAATATTTTATTCACAAATTTATCTTCTCAACAGGATTCAGATTGAAACTTGAAATATCTTGCATTTGTACATTAGTGAGAAACAGGTGGCATTTCAAGTTGACAACGTTTTGTCGGACGCTGTTTGACTTATTTCCAGTATTTTTATTTTAGATTTCCAACGCCTGCAGTACTTGACTTTTTACTTGTGTATTGCTTAATTGCATGCTTAAATAATTTTGAAACCAATGGATGACTGATGAAGTATGGTAACGTTAATACATGCAGAAGTGTTTTTCTTTCAGCCAAAGAATATTTCCTGGTACAGCATCAACTGAGATGCCTTGGATTAATGTTTCCTGTTTGAATTATACAAAATATCAGGTTTCAATGATGACATAACTAGTAGAACTTTTAATTTCTATTTTGTTTGGATTATGTAATATATTTTTCTTGACATTGACAGATAAAGTACTAGTGACACCTTTTCGCCAAACAGTGGTGCCTCCGCCAATGTCTGCATATCAGTTGCATCTGCCTTGCGCTGTGAATCAGATTATGTTCTCTTCAGATCCACAAAGGAGCAATGATTTTGCAGTCTTGACAGCAGATAACTATATTTCAGTCTTTGAAGCTGGTGAGTGTCAATGGTTAGTGGCCAATTGTTTTAACATAACAATTGTGAACCAAGCATAAAACTTGGCTATTTTGTGATCATATGTAATGTGGTAATATATGAAAGTCTACTCATTTTGTTATGATCCTAGCTGATGGTAGGACTAGATGAGTCAGCCCCAGGGTGAAACCTGGCTCGATGGATCATACGTTTATTTCAGCTGTTGATTAATATGGTGGTTAGCATATTAAAGTTACAGCAAAAAAGCAAACCAATAAAGTTTTTCATATATATGTAAATTCTAAACTTAGAAAGACATTAACACAAATAGCAAAGCAAAGTTTCAACCCATTTCCAAACACTTCCTTTTACAGATACCCAATTCCAGAGAAATTTCAGTCCTATTTCAGCTTCAATTTTACTTATCCAACTCCTTCCAGTTTCCTTTCCTTGAACTGCAAAGACAATTTTGTGCTTCCTTTCAGAGTTCACTGGCAAAAGCCTTTCACAATTCTGGTCGACTAAAATTTTTCGAACAACTCGAAGATTTTGATTAAAGACCCCCTGCCTTAGAAACTGCACAAACCAAAAAATTTTGGCTACAGTGATTGGTTCCCTTGACATAAAATTTGATTCTTCTGCTCAGAGAAACTGAATTCCTGTTTCTTCTGAACTGAGATCTTGAATCTTCTGTTCTAAGGTCAAAACTAAACAAATAGATTTTTGTTCTGTAGCAAACTAAACAGTATGAACATTTCATTAATTAGCACTACAGGGGTTCTCCCAGGTACTGGACTGTAGCAACACGCTTTATTGAAATGATGGAAATGGATTACTATTCGAAATGACTTTCTGACCTGTTTCAAACAAAAAATATCTGCACTGAACTGACCCATATTCATTTGTCATTATTTTGAAATCCAGTTTTTAAAATATGATGTAATTATTGATCTTTCATCACACTCCCACCACCCCATTTGCTTCCACACATTATTCGCAGTGTACTCTGTCACTGACAATATCACAGTTCATTAAATCACCTGAGGACCAGCTCTCCAAGATTTTGTCTTGCACCCTCTTTTCATCTAAGTTTAAAAAAAAATTCAGAATATTGTCTAGAATCTACAGCATAGACCATTCAGTTGTCCTGCTTCACATGAACCTTGATCCACTTTATTTTGTAAGGTTCTCGAGTAGATTTGTAGCTCGGGTTGTGGATGTTGTGGTTGGTTGGCTCGCCGAGTTGGTTCGTTAGTTCACAGACGTTTTGTTACCCTGCTGAATAACATCATCAGTGCAGCCTCCGATGAAGCTGTTGTGTTTTCCCGCCTGTCATTTAAACTCTGGGGTCCATTGGAATTGGTTACATCATTTCCGGTTTTTCTTCGCAGTGGTGTGTATATATAGGGTCTAATTATAGTGTTTATTGATGGCCTTCTTGGTGGAGAACCAAGCCTCTAGAAATTCCCGTACTTGTCTCTGTTTGGCCTGTGCTAGGATCCTGATATTGTCCTAATCGAACTGTTGGTTCTCCTTATTCGCGTGAATGGAGACAAGTGAGTGCCGGTCATGTCTTTTTGTTGCTAGTTGGTGTTCATGTATTCTTGTGGCCGGTTTCCTTCCTGTCTGTCCAATGTAATGTTTGTTACAGTCAAACATGACCAGTACTCACTCGTCTCCATCTGTCAGTCCTTGTATGTTACTTGTGCTATGGTTCTACAAGTTCATTCTCAGGCAGGTTAAACTTAACTTGAATGGGTATTTTTTGGCTCAAATTCTCAACTGATTTTAAATCAGTACAGGAATTTAGCTTTACTAGCAATGGACTTGGTCCTAAAATAAGATGCACTCATTCCCAGGAGTTTTATATGTTTGGGCTATCAAAGATACATGGAATTCTGCAATGACGAATTCTAAAGATTTTTTATTTGTGGACTTTTGAGACATTAACTATACATTTACATTTTTTATAATGATTTCATAATCCTGGATTATAATAAAAGTTTCACTATAATAAAATGTCCATTTAAAATTATTACTTCATCTAAAAATAATTGTTGGTGTAATGAATCCACTTGAAGATAAATTCAGAATTTGCAAGCAAATAACTAAATTAAGATTGTACTTGCAATCCAAGTATCTCGTCTAAGATGGCTAACTGCCTGTGCATACCCGTGGAGGCTAATTTAATATATTTCCTGCTGTTGCCTGTTCATTTGGAAAAACAGCTTCTATTGTTTATTGTTAAATCTTCTGTGAAAGGGTTGAACTCTGGATGAAAAACTCAGGAGTTTTGTTCACAGTAAATGGTTTCAAGGCTTTGAGCTTCGCAGCTGGCAAGTGCAAGTTATCCTGCATTTTCTGCAAAGTGTTTACAATTTTGCTAGTGGCAAACATTCAAATCCTGTGCTAGTGGATTTTTAGTATAGTGATCTATTTTTAAAAGGTAATAATTCTAATACTATAAATTCATAATTATTTTGTTTACACAGTTTTTTTTGTAAGTTGCAATAGTCATCAACCAGCTAGTTCCAAAGAACATTCGGTTATCACTATCCATTATTAAATCAAATATGACTATAATTGATATGTATTAACCCATGGTAACATTAATTGCTGAGTCAAACCAAATTGCTTGCATTCAAACCCTAGTTTAGATGCTTGATAATATGCTGTAGACTGACATTACAATGAGGAGCTGCTGTTAGAAATGTAGTCTTTTGGATGAGATCTTAACCTGCATCCCCTCTCGTAAAAGAACCTATGGCATTACAGCAATACAGAAACAGATCTTTTCGTCATTGTCAGATAACTGCTTGAGGGAGCTTGCAAACTGAATGCCACATTTCCCTACGTTACAGCAGTGACAACAACTCAGAAGTATCTTATTGTTCTGAAATGATCTGCAATGTTATGAAATTGTGAAACCCTAACCCTATAAAAATGTGCATTGTTTTCAATAAACAAAATATATTTTTTGAATTATTCAATGAATTTTTAGTGATTCGTATTTTTTTTTTCTTTACATCTGCAGATGATGGTGTGAATCAAGACTCTGCAGTTAAAATTGGTGCAGTTGGCGGCAGTGGATCAAAGATATGCATCAGAACTCCAAAACGGGTAAAAACGTACAGGTCAGTTTATGTCAGTAGTATTCTTTGTCCCTGTACTCCGTAAACCTCTTGTGCAATATCAACTTGATCTCAGACTTTATAAACGCTACTGTTAAGGTGCCCACTAAGTAGGTATGTGTGAAAGTGTCAGAGGTGACTTTCCTTCTGTACATGTGGAAGTTTTTTTTCTCTGTTTATTACTGAAGAACAGTGGTTTCAAACTCCCCCAGTTTTTCTTGAGATATTCATTGATAATGCAGATCCCCAATTTTAATTACTCTAGTCCTTTCAGTACCTAATCCTTAAGCTGTGGAATTCCCTGCTTAAACATCTCTGCTGTCTCCTTTGAGATCCTCCTCTAAGTCAAGTTTATTATCTTCTCATGATGTTCAATGTCAATTTTCTGTTATAAACAGTGTCCCTTTGAAGTGCTTTGGGCATGTTACTACATTGAAGATGTTACATATAAATTCAAGTTGTTGTTATTCATAAGCTAGGTTAATGTGCTGTAAACTGAACTTCCAACAGAAGCCTTTCCTGCCAGAGGATACCAGTAGAATCATACAGCATGGAAACAGATCCTTTGGTCCATCTCCTCCAAGATGACCAAGTTTCCAAACTAAACTAGTCCCACTTGCCTGTGTTTGGCCCATATCCCTCTAAACCTTTCCTATTCATGTACCTGTCCAAATGTCTTTTAAATGTTGCAACTGTACGTACATCTACCACTTCCCCTGGCAGTTCATTCCACATATGAACCACCTTGTGTGTTTAAAAAAAAAAGTTGCCCTCATGTCCCTTTTTAAATCTTTCTCCTCTCACCTTAAAAATATGCTCCCAAGTGTTGAACACCCTCACCCTAGGGAAAAGACCATTGCCGTTCACCTTATCTATGTGATGATTTTATAAACCACTATACGGTCACCCCTCAACCTTCTACACTCCAGTGGAAAAACTCCCAGCCTATCCAGCCTCCTCTTATAATTCAAATAATCTAGACCCGACAACTCAAATGCAATAGTGCTGACGTGATAATTTATGACGGCAGGTTGTGTAGATGAAGCTTCTATTCCAATAACTGCAGAAGATTAAGGGATGATCTAATTGAAACATATAAAAAGATTTGTTTGAGTAGATAGAGAGAACTTGATTCCCCTGTTGGGGAATCTAGAATGAGAGGGGACTTAACTTTAAAGTTATAGCTACGTCATTCAGCGTAAATTCAGGAAGCACTTCTTTGTACAATGGGTTGTGGAAATCTGGAACATTCTCGATCAAAAAGCTGTTGTGGCTGGAGGTCAGTTGAAAATCTTATAACTGAGATTGATTGACTTTTGATGGCCAAAGTTACTAAGCGTTGTGGAAACAAAATATGTAAATAAAGTTACAATACAGACCAACCCACAATCCAAGTGAATGGTTTACTCCAGCTCTTAAGTACCTGAACTTACTGACCCAGGCACAGTGGGATCAATGGCCTCCTTCTGTGCTGTATCATTTCATGATTGTACATTGTGATGCCTAATTAGTAGCACTATGATTAAGTAGCATGATTTTCTACATGGTGCATTGAATACCAAGCTTCTAACAGCTATTGTTTAACACGTCCTACAAAGCCTAGCACCATGCAAGAGAAACAGCCCACCAGAACCAAATATAAAAATTCAGAAACTAGAACTCACCAAACAATAACTCATGTAAGCCTCTACAGAAGTGTAATCTCAGTCTTGCAACACAGCCCAGAGCTACTCCACAAGCCAAACCACACTGCAAGTTTCCCTGAGCATTTCAGAGTGTGTATGTTGCAAATTACATAGGCAGTTCCCAGGTTGCAAACAGGTTCCATTCTGGAGTCTATTTGCAGGGGAATTTATTCACACATCAGAGCATAATTCAGGACGATGGAAAGCGGATGTTGGTAAATACAGGAAATATTCATTTGTGGGGTCTTTACATTTTAAAAACATGAATGGGATTGTGTTCATAAGTACAAGTCTTTGTAAGTCAGACATTCATAAATTGGGGTCCTTTGCTACAGTGCAGTAAGAATGTAACAATGTATTATCATTAAAAAGCAGTATAAATAGAAAATATATATTGAAATAATACCATCATTGTAAATTTTGCACACTAACTCTTCACAAGAATTAAATTTTGAAAATGTAATTTGGTCCTCAAGGCTTTTTTTTAATGAATTAATTTATATAAGGATGACTAAATATGGAAACGTTTTCTTGTTCTCACTTTTGGTTTTCATGAAAATGAAAGAATTAAGTTTGAAGAAGGAGGGAGCGAGTCCCTGAATCCATTGAAACTGCGAATGTTAACCTGGGTAAAGGAGAATACATTCCTAGCTGTGAGTCAAGGTCCTAAGACCTGTCAGTCTATTGTCTGTCAACTGCTAATGACATCAGAGGAGACTGAGGAAGGAGAGATTCAAATCAGGTATGAAATTTGACCCATTTTGTAGAGCCAGAACTCCAGCCTTCAATCCTAATGGCACTGCAATTCTCAGCGTGCAAAGTTTTTTTTTTTTAGCACATCAGGAGCGCAGTCTTTGCAGCTTGTGGAAATAGTAATTTTTACAATGACTTTAATCTCATAAGTTTCATTTTAAAAGTTTGTTTTTAGTCTCCATTGTTCCCCTCCTGATTTTCCATTTACACCCTTGTCTAGAAACCATACTGTGAACCAGAATTCAATGTCTATGTCTTTAAGTTAAATCAATTTAATTAGAATATATCTTTGATTCTTTTACTCAACAAATGCCTTCTCCCATAGGTACAGCAAAATTCCTTATTTCATCTATCTAGACAGCGTCTAGCGTATAAATATAAATTGAAAATGCTGGGAATGCACAACTGGTGGAGCAGCATCCTGTTTCCTCACTTGCTAATTACCTTTTGGCATTTCTTTTGAGGATTTGCAGCATTGACAGTATCTTTTTTCCTGTTGTAATGCTGTGTCAAATACTGTCCTTAAATTCTAATCCATTGTAGTTTTACAATGATGGTGTTCATTGTTCCAGGTCTCCTGTAACTGTGGATGGTCACGTGATCAATCTGTGTCACAACCAGAAGACTGAGACTGTGGCCTTGGAGATTTCCAGTGGACAGATACTAAGATACTTCTGGGGTTTGTACATTTCTAATCAAGCACTTAAGCAGAACGTGGACAGTGTTTTGTCTTGCAAGTTTCTGTTAAGAGAGCTTTGTCCAGGAGTGGAAATCAAGACAACGAAATCATGGTTTCGCTCCATGTCATTTTCTATCTTTTAATTTTACTGGGCTGAGCATTCCCCTAGGGAATACACTTCATAGAAATCATAGAATCCCTGAAGCGTGGAAGCAGGCCATTCAGCCCAGGAAGTCCACACCAACCATCTGAAGAGGATTCCACCCAGGCATGCCCTCTACCCTATACCTCTATCCCCGCATCCCTCATGGCTAGCCTACCTAACATACATATCCCTGGACACTATGGGCAATTTAGTATGGCCAATCCACCTAACCCACACATCTTTGGACTGTGGGAGGAAACCGGAGGAAAGAACCCCGAGGAAACCCAGGCATACACGGGGAGAATGTGCAGACTCCATACAGACAGTTGCCTGATGGTGGAATCGAACCCGATTCCCCGGTGCTGAGAGGCAGTGGTGCAAACCACTGAGCGACAGTGCCACCCCTGTGGAGGAGACACTCCAACGCAAACAGAATAATTTAATTGCATTGGTCTTTCAGCAAAGGACAAAGATCTAGTTCACTTTTCTTTTGAAAATAGGAGACTGAAGGGAGACCTAATAGAGATCTTCAAAATGGTGAAAGATTATTGTAGAATGCTTCACAACTGTTTCTCACTTTGATCCCATTTCAAAGTTTGAAAATTGTTACAAACTCTCAGTAAGAACTAAGAGATCAGAAAGTGAGGGCTGAAAGAGAGGGGGCCTCTTAGAGCTTAAGTACAATTGTTTAACGTGGTAAGAGTTCCGTGACAGTCAGTGCTGCCTTAGAGTTCATGCTTCCAAATTTCTGCTTGCGACCTCACTTAGGATCTGAATCCCCACTTCGGGAAGACCTAGAGTAGATGCAGTAAGTGTTTCCATTTAGGTGGCAAAACAAAATTAAAGGCTATCAATATGAGATAGAAATTAAATCAGGAACTCAAGATAAAAGGTCTTTACCCAGATCATGGTGAGAATGTTTGAATTCACTACTGCAGGGAGCAGTTCAGGTAAATGTATTCCAAGAGGATGCTAGGTGCACATAACAGGAAGAAGGGAGTAGAAGGCTATGCTATGGAGTTAGATGTGGAAGAATGAGAGGAATTTCTGTAATGTATTGTCTAAGTAACTGTTAACCTTTTCAAGCCTGTGGAAGGAATTTTAAAAGACTTTTGCTCCCCACTTCTCCACAACTTCCTTGCCAAGATTTCATCCCTGACTTCAACTTGTACTTCAGTATGTATCCCTTTCCACATACCAAATTTAATTAGGCAGTGCTTTGACATGTAGTTATGTTTGATCAAACAACAGTAGTTTTGTTGCCTTATTGTTGGCTAGTCATCACTGTCAATTCTATGGCTACTATTTTGCGGGTTAATGACTAAATACATTTTCTGAACAAAAATTTAGCCATTATGTGCTTTGTAGTACAGTTGTCAGTACCTATTGCATTGAAATAATATGGCCAGTAAGCTGAGTTGATACATTGCTAATTTTTTTATTTTGTCATTAAGTCAGTGATGTGCTGAGTAACTTCCTGCTTCTTGTATTTATATTTAGTTTAGTGAATAATAAAATTGCAGATGTGGGGTCTGAGGGAATGGAGCTAAAAGCCTATATTTGTTTATTTTGTAAGGAACAAATCTGTGTCTTTCCACCCTTTTCATCATGTATTCATTTTCCTGGATCCTAAAGTGTGGAAATTCTGTCCCTGAACACATTCAACTCTTGATTACTCAATCAATCTCTTTCGTACTTTATTTAAGATACTGTTTAAAATCTTCTTTGATCAAGCTTTTACGTTGTGCAAATGTAAGTCACTGTTGTGTATATATGTATAATGCTATTTCAATGTCTCTTTCAGCCACACATTCCTCTGAGGCATGTGTGAAACAGTGGAAGTCAGCTACTGGATGTTTAGTACAGTTTCCTCAACCTTGTGTAGAGACAGCTCTATGTACAGTTGATGGTGAGGTGAGTGGCTTTATTTTCTCTTCCTCCTGAATGTGTCAGCTGCTTGCCGGAGTACTGTCCCATGGGCACCGGATGCAATATGGATTCTTGTGCAGAATCCTTCTCTGAATGATCATGTCTGCACACTGAGTTTAGCAGGATGTTTGACAGAGCATCACAAATCAGCTAACTTATTGGACCTTAAATCTTCGTGGCTTTTATGGTTCAGCTGTTTATTTCCTCAACTTTCTTTTGGGCAGTCCGTCGGGATTGGCAGGGCAGGTGATGCTTGAAGTGTTAGGGAGTTATTTGCAGGTTTGTACACTCCTAGTGACACATTGACTTTGTCTCTACCTGTTCCTGTCAAAGTATCTCAACATGTTCAGTATCTTTTCAAATGAACTTTCTCCATTTTGCTGGTCATAAGCCGGCAGCAGATGTAGTTGACCTCTTTCAGGACTTTTTGAGAACAAATTAAGAGTTTCCTGTATCTCTTACATCATTAACAAACAGATACAGTGTTTAGTGCTTCAAATATCTGTATCTGAAATTCTGCAATATCCCTATCTGCTGTCTCTTCTAGGAAATGGTCTTCGGTCTGACAGAAAGATCTCGTTTCTACATTAATGACTTAGAGGTAAGTTGTGATTCTACTTTGATTATCTTTTTCTTTGCATACTTGAAGCATTGAATGCCATTTTTGAAATTATTCTGATGTTTTTGTTTTGAACAGATAGCCTCCAATGTCACTTCATTTATAGCTTGCGATGAGTTCCTGTTGTTCACAACCCATTCACACATCTGTCGCTGTCTGAATCTTGGGACTACTTCATTAAAAGGTGAGTGCTTAAAGCAAATGCAGTAACCTGGATTGAGACGTTCAAAAATCAGTATCATTTTGAGTTTTGTGTGTTACAAGCAGGAATTCCTCTTGTCACTTACCATTGTAAAATAATAATTCTGCCACCTATCTTGATGCAAGTTCAAGTATCAGCTTCTCAAGAACAATTAAGGACAGACAATAAATGCTGGCCCAGCCAGCAACTCCCACAACCTATATAGGAATAAATAAGGGAAGTCTTAAATCCAATTGAGCAATCTTTATATATCTGATGGATATTTTTCTTGAACCAGAATGTTGTAGGTTTTTGCCTGTGTTTGTTAGTAACTTGATATAACTTTACAATGAGAATTTGACCATCTAAGATTGTTGAATTTGCTGTGTGCACAAACAGTTTTATCGCAACTTTCAAGCAGTGATTCCCAGCCTAATGATGAAACAGTTCGTAGGGTGGAGAGAGGATCTCGCATAGTGACTGTTGTACCCCAGGACACCAAACTCATCCTTCAGGTTAGCAATGACATTATTTATATGATATGCTGTTCTTTCTCCCATGTATTTTGCAGCAGCTAGGATAAGGGGTATAATAATTGGGAACAGTCAAAACACCAACCTTTTTTTTTTAAAACAAACAAATAGCTTCCCTTGAAGTTGTGATTCAGCTTTGAAATCAAGCACTGTGACATCACAGCAAATTTAGTGTCTAGATTTGCCAAGGAAGGTGGAAATCTGGAACTGTCTTTCTGAAAAAGCTGTTGAAGCTGGGCGCCCATTGAAAAATTTCAAGATTGTGATTGATTGATTTTTGTTAGATAAGTGTTACAGAACAGAGCTAAGTAGATGGTGTTAAGATACATAGCAGCCATGATCGGCAAAGCAGTTTTGAAGGGCTGAATTGTCTCCTCTTGTTCCTATGTTTATTAATTTGCTGGTATGGTTGTGTTAGGGTGAACGGCTTCTCTTTGGTGTCACAGAATAATACAGCATGATCCATGATGCCTGGTGGTACTATGATTAAGTAGCTTGATTTTCTTTCAATTAATGAACAAAATGCCAATCCCAATTATTAACCAGTACGTCAACAATACCTAGTAGACAACCGAATAGTGTAATGAAATCCTGTCCCTGTGATCGCTAGAGCGGGAACAGCAGAACTGTAAATACGTACGGAGTTTTTCCCATTGTACTTTTATGAGAAGAATGCAAAGCCTTAAAGAATCGAGGTTTTACAGTCCAGAAAGGATACGAGGCCTACCGTGGCTTTTAAAGAGCCAATTAGTCATCCTCCTATACTGCTCCCCACAACCCAGAAAATATATCCCTTCAGACATTTATGAAAAGAAGGATGTTTACAAAAGCGTGCTTTGTTTAAAAGGCAAGTTGGTGGGAGTTGCTACATAAAGTCCTTTGATCAGGGTCTTTAGCCAGGACTGTGGTGAGTAATTTCTATTTTTTAAATACCATTTTTAAAAAAATCATCAAATAAGCCAAGCAATCAGAACTATCTTAAAGCAAAAGAATCATGAGTACTGCCTAAGAAGCTGACCCCAATATACTGTGTTTCACTGTGCATGTTAAGTGATAGAATGCAAGCCCTTATATTTTGTGGGCGTACCATGGTATTGTGTTTAAAATCGTGGATGTCCAGAATCAGTGATTCAGAGCATACGAGAGCAGTAACATGGAGATAAACTGAGGAGAGTGTTTAGTTCTTGATGTAACTGTTTAAGTCATAGAGTCATACAGCATGGAAACAGACCCTTTGGTCCAACCAGCCCATGCCGACCTTAATCCCAAACTGCCTGCACTTGGTCCATATCCTTCTAAACATTTCTTATTCATGTACTTATCTAAATGTCATTTAAATGTTGTAACTGTACTGGCATCCACCACTTCCTCCAGAATTTCATTCAAAAAATTACCCCCATGTCTTTTTAAAATCTCTCTCTTCTCACCTTAAAAATATGCCGCTCAAAAAGTGTGGAGTAAAAGAAAATAAAAGGCACGAATATAACGCCAAAGAAACCTGCAAGTGAATAATGTTGTTTCTGCTCTCTCCGTGCTTCTTTGTGGACTGTTTTACTAGCTTAAAACACTATATATTTGTTCTACAACAACTTGTATTTATATAACACCTTTAAAGTAAAAAAATGTCTGAAGGTGTTTCATCGGCACAATTATCAAACACAGTTTGGCGCTGAGCCATGTTAGGGGATATGAATACACGTGACCAAAAGCCTGTTCAAAGACAGAGGTTTCAGGAAGAGAGAAGTTGAGATGCATGGAGGTTTAAGGAGGAATTTCCAGAGCTGCAGTGACAATCAGGATGTGCATAAGGCAAAAATTCATGGGCAAGAAAGAGTTGGAGGATGCAATGAAAGAATGAATTGTCAGCTCTATGTTCTCTGTGCAGATGCCACGTGGGAATCTGGAAGTCATTCACCACCGAGCACTGGTGTTGGCCCAGGTGCGAAAATATCTGGACAGGTCTGTAAATCATTATTCCCAACTAAAATCTGAATTGAAGTTAGGAACCATTTTCAAATTTCACAGTGATTGACTTTTACGGTTTATGCCTCCTTCTAGAAAGCTATAACTGCTTTCCTCAGAGCAGACAGGTTTAAGGGGACATACAATAAAGGTGAGAAAAATTATGAAGGGTTGTAAACTGGAGAAATTGTTTGCAATGGCAGATGGTTAGCAAACAGAAGACACAAATTTAAAATGACAGAGAAGCTGGAGGGAGGACATAAAGGTTTTATTTTCTCAGCAAGTTACAATGATTTGAAATGCCTGTGCATTGTCTTCAAGGTTTTTGGGAGAAGATTGAGCACTTTCTTTCAAAAGTGAAAATAAATACTTGGATAGGTTTAAAAAAAAAATTGCAGGTGTCTAGGGAAAGTGCAGAGCATGGCGGACAAATTCACCACCTGTTCCCAAGAGCCAGGACAGGTGTGGCGGAGCAAGTAGTTATTTCTGCTGTAAGGTTTTATGTTTGGAGGAAAATATGGATCACAACCCCCGCAATGGGATCGCAAGCTTAAATTTTGGGGTTGCAACTCCAAAACACAAGTGGCTGCTCTGAATCTCCAACCAAGTGCTAACAGCTGCAAGAAATTTTTAAAGCCTCACAGTTTAACATGCAAACTTTTTGTGAGTTTCAATAAGTGGCAACCTTTTGCAAATCTCCATTCATATAGGTTTCACTGTCTTTTATTAAAAATGGGGAAACTGTTGCAAAATCAATTGTAGCATAAACCAGCAACTATAAATCCAGCCTATTCATTACCTCTTAGACGCATACAGTACAGAAACAGACCTGTCCATGCCGAACATAATTTCAAACTAAACTAGTTCCACCTGCCTGCGTCTGACCCATATCCCTACAAACCTTTACTATGTATGTACTTAGCCAAATGACTTTTAAATGTTGTAATTGTACCTGCATCCACCACTTCATCAGGAAGTTCATTCGACACGTGAACCACCCTCTGTAAAAAAAAAAAAATTGCCTTTTGCGTCTTTTTTGAATCTCTCTCCTCTCATCTTAAAAATGTGTCCCCTAGTCTTGAAATCCCCCATCCTAGGGAAAAAGATAATTACTGTTAACTCTATCTATACCTCTCATTATTTTATAAACTTCTGTAAGGTTACCTGTCAATGTCCGACGCTCCAGTGGAACAAGTCCCAGCCTATCCAGCCTTTATAACTCAAACCTTCAATACCTGGCAACATCCTGGTAAATCTCTTCTGAACCCTCTGCAGATTGATAATATCCTTCCTATAATTGGGCGACCAGAACTGGACACAGTATTCCAAAAGAGGCCACACCAATGTCCTGCACAACCTCAACATGACTTCCCAACTCGCATATTCAAAGGACTGAGCAATGAAGGCAAGTGTGCCAAATGCCTTTTTAACCACACTGTCTATATGTGACACAAACTTCAAAGAATTATGTAGCTGCACCCCTCAGTCCCTCTGTTGTACAACACTACCCAAGGGCCTACTATTAATTGTATAAGCCCTACCCTTGTTTGTTGTACCAAAATGCAATACCTCGCATTTATCCAGATTGAACTCCATCTGCCATTTTTTATTCCATTGACCCATTTGATCAAGATCCGTGTGTAATCTTAGAAAACTTTCTTCACTGTCTACTATGCCACCAATTTTGGTGTTATCTACAAACTTACTAACCATGCCTTCTATATTCTCATCCAAATCATTTATATAAATGACAAACAAAAGAGGACCCAGAACCAATCCCTATTGAACACGGCTGATCACAGGCCTTCAGTCCAGAACGCAAGTATCCACCTTTACTCTCTGTTTCCAGCCGTGAAGCCAATTATATACCCAATTGGCAAGCTTACCCTGAGTCCCATGTGACCTGACTTTACTAATTAATTTACCATGCAGAACCTTGTCAAAGGCTTTACTCAAATCCAAACAAACAACATCTGTTGCTGTGCCATCATCAGTCTTTTTGGTAACTTCCTCAAAAAAACTCAATCAAGTTTGTGAGACATGATTTTCCTCGCACAAAATCATGCTGACTTTCCCTAATCAATGTTTGCCTCTCTAAATGTCTTCTTTAGGCTTAAGTACAAGGAAGCCTTTGAATGTATGAGAAAGCTGAGAATAAATCTCAATCTCATCTACGATCACAACCCAAAAGTGAGTATTAACATTAAGTCTCTTGAAAGATCTTCTATCTTGTTTACCATAATGCCATGTTGTTGTGCTGAAGGGAGCAGATTGATACCTGGACTATCACTACAGTAATTTCCACACAGCAGCTGATTAACAGATGTCTTCTGTCATTCTATTTCCCACAGAAGGCAAATGTGGCACCGTTGTCGATGTATCCCTGCTTAAGCATCAGTAAACTGAATTAGAACTTTGGCAGTACAATGAGGCAGAGTCTCTTTGTGGTTGAGGAGGCTCTGAGATAATGTGATTCATTCAGAACTAAGCTAAGCCTAATAAACAACAATCCTCCCATAATTTGCCACAGTTCACAAGGGATCATGGGCATCTGTCTATCCATCTTGTCTTTAGTCAATCTGGCCTGTTCTTTCCTTATGTTTCACCTTCTACTGTAGTCAACATTGGATTTTCACACTGCCTTTTCTGGTGGTTGCACTCTTAGTTTCCTCTTCTTTGCTTCAGCCATGAGATGCTTGGACTTTGATTTTCCTGTGGACAAATTCATTAGTTCTTGCTCTCAGCTGATTCTAAGGGCCCTTAGCCAGAGACATGTTTCAAAAGCTGTAATTCCTCTGTTGTTAGCCTTACTGAGAGTCCAACTTTCACAGCCATTCAGTGCTATACTCCATACCAAAGATTTTGCAACTTGTTTTTGGCCAAGGGCTGGTGAGTGTTAAATGCTCACTCAATTAAATTTGATAGAGGTATTTAAAATGGTGAAGAGCGTATATAGAAAAAACAGAGAAACCTTCCAATGGCTGATGAGTCCATAACCAGAGGGCAGAGATTTGAGGTGATCAACAAATTTGAAGAAGAAAATTTTCAGGGATATGAGGAAACAGCAGAGGAATGAATGAACTTCTGAAGAAGAGTAATACCAGACTCTCAGTTAACCCTGTTTTGCTGTAAGACTTGCTAAGTTTCTCCAGCATTTTCTGTGACTGTTTAAGATTTCTAGCACCTGCAGTAGTTTGCTCTTATTGAGGGAATGGAACTAACTGGATTGGTCCAAATATGCAGAACTTTTCTATGAACTTGCCCACACGACTAGACTGTCAGGACCTATTTGAATTGAGGTATATCCCTATGGGTGGAGAGACTTTATTGGTAAGAGAAAATAATCTGTAAGTATAGATTTCTAAGTTATATGATTGAAATGTTGTTTAAAATCAAGCTACAATTATTTTTTGCACATTAGATTCCTTGTTGACTTCAGAGAAGGCAAGCCCTTGATTACATTGTTGGGAAAGCACTCTGAACCACCCAGACTTCAGTCCTGGCTAAGTGTGGTTCTCAATGTCTCTATTCATCAAAAGGACATACTGCAGGAACCGAAGTGCCAACCTGCAGACATCTCAAACACAAAATCAACATACAAAATCTGAAACAAAAGTGAAAATTGCTGAAAATTCTCAGAAGCTCATACTTCATCTGTAGAAAGAAATGGAGTTAACGGTTCAGATTAGTGATTATTAATCTACAGTTGTTGCTTGCATTGGTGTAATGACCAGTGATGGGTTTTGAAGCTGCACGACTGGAAAGAGTGTAACATTTTCATGTTCTTGATTTCACTGTGTCTGAGAAGTTGATTCTTCAGGGACCTCTGAATTGTGAATGTGCTTGTCACTGTATCCAAGTGCATGAAACATTTGTGCTTAAATATGTACTTTGGTGTTTGGTATGGTAACATTTGGTGTTAGTGACAGCTAGGTTATTATGATGTTATAAAATTAAATCTTTCAAGACCAGCCTTTGTACCAACCTTGGAATCAGTGTAATTTTAAAAATAGGGAAGACCTTGGAAATATTACACTGCTGTCCTAGTGATGGTGATGTGAATTGCAGGTATAACATGAAATTACCCTTAGTTCAATGCCAATATAGACGTAGGTAATCTTTTGTTAAGCCTGTCCTGAACATTTGCATTTCTCTTGCTGAACACCTTTAGTGAAATAATTCCAAGACCCACAGAGATGTTTACTTAGATACTTTTTTAAATGTTTGTAATGTTTTTCTTCTACTTTTGTAGAATTTTTTATTATCTTTAGTTATGTGATTCCCTAGATTCATATAAGTGCATTGTGTGTTGCAATTGAGTAGGAAAGAAAAGTGTTGCATTTTGAATGCTACTTTCAGGATCTTAGGACATCGCAAAGAGTCTTAAAGCCAATGACGTATTTTGAAGTGTAGTCACTGTTTAATATGAGTAATATGGAAGTCACTGTGAGCGCAAAAATTTAACAACATGATAGATTGATAGAATTTACAGTACGGAAACAAGTCATTCAGGTTTACTGGGCCGTGCTGTTTTTATGCACCACACAGATCTCCTTCTGCCTGTCTTCATCTCGCCTTTTACAGCATACCTTTCCATTCTCCCTCATCCAGTTTCTGCTTAAATGCATCCACGCTCTTCACCACAACCAATCATTATGATAGCTGCTCTCACATTCTGACTACTCTGCCTGGAGAAGAAGTTTCTCCTTAATTTCCTATTGAATTTGTTAGTACTTTGACTTTATATTTATGATCCCCTCTTTTGGACTCCCCCAACAAATAAACATATCTTCTCCTCAGAATCTTTAAGACCTCTATTCATTCACCTCCCAGTCATCTGTAATAAAAGGTGCCCTGGTCTGTTCAGCCTTTGCTGTAAGTACAACCTCTCAATCCTGGCCTCATCTTTATGATTTTTTTTACACCTTACCGAGTACATTTTATATCCTTATAATATGGTGTCTGGAACTGTGCACAGTGATCTTAAATTGGTCTAAGCAGGTTTTTCACAGTTTATAGATTTCGTTGTTAATTATCTGTTTTTCTGATGTTGGTTAAGGGATGAAAATTGGCCAGGACACCAGGGAGCATTCCTCTTCATAATATTGTCATGATCTTTCACATCCAGCAGAGAGCAGGCAAGGCCTTAGTTTATTGTAAGTGAGAAACTGCAACAATTGTAGCACTCCCTCATTGTCAGCCTCCGTTCTGTAGATTCCAGTATCAGAGTAGGCGGAATGCTCAGACAACTTCATCCATGGGAACATGATCATGACTGACTGAAAACTCAGTTTGCTGCTTTAACCAGAATTAACAACTTACACAATAGGAAAAAAAATATTGCTGTTAATAAATGTCTAATAATGGGTTATAGCAGGGAAAAATGTTTAATTGATTCAGAGCGTAATTGATTCAAGTGTATTGTGCTGCTCAATGACCATCGAACGCAAAGCTATAAGTTGAATCATCCAAATGAGGTGCATTGATTGGCACGTTGACTAGGGATTCGCTTATTTGTTACATGAATATGCATTTGCTAATGCCTGCACATTTGTTTATCTTTAGGTATTTTTGGACAATTTGGAGAGCTTTGTGAAGCAGATCAATTCTATAAATTACATCAATTTGTTCCTGACAGAATTGAAGTAAGTGCCAGTAGAAGTAAAAACAAAAACTTTTCATTTCATACAGCACCTCGACTACAAAAGGTTGTCCCTAACTATACTGTTACTCTTCTTCAAATCATGGGATGGGACCTTTACTGTCCACTTGAGAGGGTAGATGATGGGGCGTCAAAAAAAAAGCAGCACCTTGGACAATGCAGTATTCCCTCAGCACTGCACTGGAAATATCAATCTAGATTTTTGTGTTTACATCTCTGGAGTGGGACTTCAATCTGCAATTTTCTGACTCTAAAGCAAGGCATTGTTCCATAGCTGACAAGGAACATTCACTATTTCTCAAAGGTTTTCTTGTAGTTCATGGTTACGACAGTCCAGTCCTCCATTGTATCTTTATCAGATTTGTGGCAGAACTAAACTAAGTGTGTTTCAAACAGCATGTAGTTATCTTCCTCCCTCAGGACTCCATGTTGCTCCAGTGCTGGCATCTCCAAGGCTATATTTCCTCCTGTTCATAGCAGGCATGCTGCACTGCTGGGTGTAAGTTGCATCTCCAATCATATCATGATATCACAGATGTCAATTTTGCATGGTCCTTTAGCACATTGTTTAGGCAATTGTCCCATCAGTGGGCATTTGGGAGGAGAAACTGTTTTTAACAAGTTTTTTTTAAATCAAAGACTGAACATCCTTAAACCCAATGTTGTGCATATGCCACTCTTCTTTTCCAGAGAGGAAGATGTCACAAAGACAATGTATCCATATTTCCCCAGCTCATCAACTTCAGCACCTGCGATTGGCACTAAAGTGAACACAGTATGTGATGCACTGCGTAAGACTATGGAGAGAATCAGCCCTCACAAGTAAGAAAGATTTGCATTATGTATTGCCTTGCCCATGGTGGCCTAAACACTTTGCAACCAATGAAGTATTTTCTGAAGAGTAGTCACTATTGTAATGTAGGAAACATGGCAGCCAATTTGCACAAAGCAAGTTCCCACAATCAGCAATATGGAGATCATCAGATAATCTTGGCTTTTATTGTTGTTGGTTGAGGGATAAATTTCAAAATACTGGTGTGGACTATTTTACTTTCATCTGAATCATCAGAGAGGCCTCAGATTAACATCTTTTCTAAAAGTCAGCAATCTTAACAGTGCAGTGCTTCCTCAATGTTGCATTGGGTGTGTTAGTCTGGATTTCATGCTTAGGTTTCTGGTGTGTGACTTGAACCCATAGCCTATTAAATCAGCAAGTGTGCTTCACACTAAGCCACAACTAAAACTAAATGATGTGGTCGTGTTTGCTGAAAGTGGGATAAAATGAGTGATTCTTCCTGCCTAAGAGGAGCAGAGGCCAGAGAATCTGTACTGCATTGTGTTATCCTTAGTGCCCTTTGCCCATAGTCCTTGATAAAGTGATATTGTAATGTCATTCATTACACTAAATCAGTAACTTTCAGACAAAAATGAACACTCCAAACCTTATCAAACAGGCTATCATTCTTATCTTCCTTTAGAGTGTCTCAAAATTACTTTACAATATTTTAGAAAGACCATTTCTTTGTAAGCACTTCCCATGTAAACATGTATATATTATAATCTTCTTGTAAATTATTCCTCATAGAATGCACTTCACTTACCTATTACTTTACATAGATACAGTTTGTCAATACTGACCTGCCATGTGCGAAAACGTGCTCCAGAACTGGAAATTGCTCTTCAGAAAGTCCATGAACTGAGAGGTAACATTTAAGTAATGTAGACAAAAATTCAGTCATATTCTAGCACTTTTCTAAGCAATTCTGCAAGTTGGTAATCTCATTACACAAGAAGGAGCCCTTCCGTTGAAACCAATAGCAGAAGGGTTTCAGTTACAGTTCTCATTGAGCGGCTGCGTTCTCTTCCTGTTTTCGTGTAGCATAACTCTGTTACCTCTAAGAAATAATCAGAATTATGTCCTCCTTGCCTCATCCAGAGGTGTGATGCTGTAATTTCTGAACCAGTACTATACAAAAAAAAGCCACTTTTGAGACATAAGATTATATATATTAATATTTTACCTTCAGTAAAATATACATATTATATATCCCTGAGTTGTTAATGAAGTAAGGTTACTTCTAACACAGAATTTACAGCACAGAAAAGGCCATTCAGTCCAACTAGTCAATGTTGGTGGTTATGCTCCTCTCAGACTTCCTCTTAACCCTCCTTTGTTCACTCTGTCATCATACCCTTCTATTCCTTCTTCTTTCCCATGTCTTTCTAGCTTCCCCTTAAAGGCATCTTTAAATTATTCACATCAACAACTGCACATAGTAGAAGAATTCCACTCTTTTGGGTAAAACATTTCCTCCTGAATCCTCCATTGGATTCATTAGTGACTTGTATGTTGATTGCATTGTTATTGTTAAAGTACAGTGACTAGATCTCTTTCTATAAGAGGGGCTGCCTCCTCTAACAAATGTGACCAGCACAAATGCTCTGTCCTTTGTTTCTTACTATCATTTCTAATTCCAAACTTGCAGTGAATCCTCCATCTGATCCTGAAGCAGTCAGTGCTGAAGAGGCCCTGAAATATCTCCTCTTCCTGGTGGATGTTAATGAACTATATGACTATGCAGTGGGCACATACGACTTTGATCTCATGATGATGGTGGCAGAGAAATCGCAAAAGGTTGGCATGCTTTGTAATTTTTTTAATTCAATACTTGATTTTGTTTTAGGATAGATTTTTCCAAGCTCTGTAGAGAAGATTGTCAACAACAGTGAACAAATTATCCAAGAAGAGAAAAGAATGAAAGTCTAACAATTAGAACAAATATAGAAATTGCTGGAGAAGCTCAACAGGTCTGACAGGATAAGTGAGAGAAACAGAGTGAATGTTTCTCGTTCAATATGACTGTTCATCAGGCGTTCAGAAGAAGAGTCATATCAGGCTCAAAATTGTAACTCAATTTCTCTCTTTATAGATGCTACCAGACCTGCTGAGTTCCTCCAGGACTTGTGTTTCAGATTTCCAGCATCTGGATTATTTTGCTTGGACATAGTTTTAAAATTAATAAATAAAATTGGACTCCTTAAAGAAGGTCCACAGTAAATTTGAAAAAATACAAACTGTAAATGATCACATTTGCATTAAGAAAAATGTTGAGAAAAGTAAAATAATGCCTATTTTGAAAAAAGAAAGAGCTCAAAATACCAGGTGACATCAGTGGAGAAGGTATTCCAACAAAAAGTTATCAACTTGAAATGTTAACTTTGTTTCTTCACAGATGATGCTGACCTGCTAAGAATTTTCAGCATTTTGTGTTATTTGTTACTGGGAATATACATCAAAGTTTAGCAGCATTGATAAATAGTTGAACTGTATTTTTTTTTGGTAAAGAGCCTTTCTCATCACTGAAAACTGTAGGGAAGGTTCCCTGTTTGCTGGTCTTAGGAAGGATTTTCCTGGTCTCAGCTGTTAAGAAACAATGTAAAGATAAGACAGTTCTAGAGTAAGATAAAGAATGAAAGAATAAGCTGTCATGGGTGTTTTTGACCAACTGTGTTTAGTGGCTGCTTACAGGCAAAAGAGAACCCAACATGTTTTTTGAGATTGTTGTTAATAGAAAAAGGAACACAGTGGCTTAAGGGAAAGGGGTTAAGGGGTTGTTAGATTTAGATTTAGATTTTGATTTTATTGTCACCAAGAGACCAGTCCGAGACCGGCCACAAGCCGCTGAGATACCAGACCGAGACCGGCCACAAGCCGCTGAGATACCAGACCGAGACCTGCCACATGGGAGGTGAACATCAAGATGGGAAAAGCACCAAAAAGGGGGGGAAAGAGAAGGAAATGAGAAATAAACAGAAGGAGCGGAGGAACTCCAGTTAGAGGGCCCTACTCCACTAGGCAGTGGGTCAGAGAGAGAGTTGACCGGACAGCAAGGGCACGCACGTTACAGTGATAGAATTCCTTTTGGAAAGGTGAACAAGTAGCGGACGGGGAACTGTCCATAGATGTTATTGTATGGACTTCCAGAAGATATTTGATACCATCTCTCATAAGACACTGTTAGCTAATGTTAAAGCTTCTGCATTTGAAGCCAGGTGATTGACCTGAGTAGGATGCTCGTTTAGCAACAGGTGACCAAGAGCACAAGCAAGTATATTGGACAATGCTGTAATTCGCTGGATCTGACTAATAGTGCCTCAGGTATCCATGTTGGAACCTCAACTATTCACAATACGTATTAATGACTTACATGATAAGATAGGGAGCTGCATATTTAACAATGCCAATGATACAAAAATAGTCAGCATTGTAAGTAGTGTAGGTGAAAGCAAAAAATTACAGGGGCGTTAATATATTAAAGAGAACAGGGAAAAACTGGCAAATGGATTTCACCATAGGTAAATCAGATATCTAGGACCTAGAAAAAAAATGCCAAAAAAAAACCCTGGTGAACAATTAGAAACAGTGGAACTCAAAGAAACTTGTACATGATTTAAATAATCAAAAAGACTAACCGAATGCTGGGGTTTATATCTGACAGACAAGAAAACAAGGACTTAGAAGTCAAGCTACAGCTATACAAAACCCTGGTTAGAGCAGATTTGGGGCACTTGAGAGTAATTCCAGGTACCCAACGTTAGGAAGGATATATTAGGCTTAGAAGCAGTATAGGTTTACTAGCACTTTCTTAGGTCTCCAAAGACTAAGTTATCAAAAACAATTAAATAAATTAGTGTTGTATCCCGTGAAATTTAGGTTGAGGGGTAATTAGATCAAAGTTTTCAAAAAATTGAGTGTGATAGATGGAAGAAGACTATTTCTATTGTTGGGGGTCTAAAACTAGGGATAGCCTAAAATTGGTGTGCAATCAAGTCTGAAATTATTAAACAATGGGACTAGATGTATCTAGGCTATCTGGTCAGCATGGACGAATTGGACCAAAGGGTCTGTTTCCATGCTGTACATCTCTATGACTGTTATAACTTTTAACAGAAAAAGTGGTAGAAGTTCATAGCTGTCCTCTGCAAAGAATGTGGATACAGTTGGTTGTTTACTTTAAATCTGAGATTGACAGACCTTTGATTATCAAATGCATAAATGGAAAAGGGGCAAAGGTGAGTATGTAGTTAGCCACAGATCATCTGTGATTTCATTAAATTAAGTATAAAACACTCCCATTCCATGTTCCCATTGATATCAAATAAAATGAGGCTGTTCTGATTTTGTGTACTTGAATGTTATTCTCTTGTTTCAGGATCCTAAAGAATATCTACCATTTCTGAACAACTTGAAGAAAATGGAAACTAATTACCAGCGATACAACATCGATAAATATTTGAAGCGATATAAGAAAGCTCTCAACCACCTCAGTAAATGTGGTAAGTGCAACTTCAAAACATTGAACACGTTGTGATTTCATGCTTCAGCAGCTCAGTTGAGAAATTGAGGTGTTCAGAGGGTGGGCGTGCCAACTTATTTCCAAGGAATATGTCTGTCAACATAACATCCCACAGGTTTGTACACGTTTAGAGAAGGAACGAGGCACTAATTTTGTAATTTTTTTTGACATGATCATATATTGTAGTAGAAGCAATTTTTTTTAAACCACATTCTACGGATCTAATTTTTGTTTAGAAAAGAAAGTATGGACTTGCATGCGGTCATTCTTGATAAATCGAAACCTGTTTCTGTTAAAATTATGTAACTAGTTTCATGTAAAGCAAGTCACCAATATTATCAGTCATAATGAGGCTAGTTATCAGAGTTTGTGTTATATGGAATAATGGTTACTTGGCTCTCATTTATACTTGATAACATGTCAGCAAAACGTTGTATTTGTATAATGGATTTCAACTTGAGAAAACGTCCTAAGGTGCTTTGCAGGGCTATCAGATATAATTTGACACTGAGCCACATAAGAAGCTTTTGGGATAGCTGAAGAGGAAGTTTTATGGCATATCTTCAAAGATGGAGAGGTTTATGGTTTAAGGCTACCATTGGTGAATCAATTACTATTAGATTGCATGAGAGACCATAATTAGAGGAAAACCAAGATCTTGACAGGTTGTAGGACTGAAGATGAGTACAGAACTAAGGATGGGTGAAGCCATGAAGAGATTTGATTATAAGAAAAGAATTTTAAATTTGAAGCTTTTGTCAGTCAGCAGCACAGGGTAAGCAGAACTTGGTACAAGTTAGGACAAGTTAAGTAGTAGATTTTTGGATGAGCTCAGATT